AGCAGAGACAGAAGCCCCCCACCCCCTGTTGCAAAGGGGGCTCCAGGCGTGTATCACAGACAGCCTTGAAAATGAGGCCACACAAGTGCTACGGATCTAACGTGACATCAGGGAGAGCCACTGAAGTTCAGGAAACAGGACAAATGACATCCAAATTGGGCTTCCAAGGGTAAGATTTGAGAGAGATTGAGTAAAAAGTTACTGCTAGAGGCCCAGGCACTGTGGTATAGCAGGCTAAGCTTCCGTCTATGGCGCCAGCATCCCATATGAGTAGCTGGTTCAAATCCCGGCTGCTCCTCTTCTGATCCAGCTCTCTGCTGTGGCCTGGGAAAGCAGTAGAAAATGGCCCAAGTCCTTGGGCCCCTGCACCCGTGGGGGAGACCTGGAAGAAGCTCCTTGCTTTGGATGGGCGCAGCTCCGGCTGTTGGAGCCATTTGGGGAGTGAACCAGCTGATGGAAGACCTCTCTGCCTCTCAAATAAATAAATCTTAAAAAAAAAAAAGTGACTGCAAGAACGCAAGCAAGTGTCACTGAGGCTTCCCTGATGGTAGCCGGTGTTTCCTTATTAAGAGTGCGGTGAACAGCACTTAATTTTGCTCTGATGGACACTTACGGGCACTTAGTAGATGGTCAATAACACTCCTGTCCAATGAGGGCCTTAGACACAGTGACATGGAGCAGGCTACGCGGGAGTCCAGGGCGGACATACGAACCTGGCGCAAACACCGTTGCTTGTGTACAGGCAGCTACGTTTACTGGCTGCTTTTAACTCTCCCCAGTTCACTATCGTCTTTGGGGGCACTGGGGCTGGGGCCACAGCTGCGGGCAGGTGCACCCCATGCAGGGTCCACTCCTTCCTTCCTGTTTGCTGCCTTCAGCTTGCCAGGGGACAGAGCAGGCGTTGGGAAAGGCAGCTCTGGTCCCTGCCAACATGGGAGCACTTGGGCAAGTCTCTTGACGACCCTGGGCTTGTTCCTTCTCCTGTCCAATGCCAATAAGAACTGGCACTGGCTGTGACCCAGGATGTCCTGGGGGGCCCTGGACGCCCAGCCCCGATGTGGGGGCACTTGTCTGGTTAGGCCAGAGTCTTTTTTCCTCCTTGTCCTCAGTACAGGTGCCAGGTGACCGGATTCTGCATAGCAACATTGCCCCTGCTTTCCACTAACTCCTTAATGGTAAAAGAACTGCTGGGTTTCTTTGCTTTGGTCATAATTTCTTATATCAGCTTTAATTAAGTTCCTGTTTCTTACACTTCCCCCAGCTTATCTCAGACTTAACGTACAGAGGACAGCGGATTTTTAATATATTGTACAGTTCCCGTTCCAGGTCTCCGGTGACTCTCACACATTCCATCTGGTGTCACGAAAGCTTTCCGAAGCCTGCACTCCTTCTCTGAAGTTATTTCCCAAATCCTATCCAGAAATGAATAGCTATCGGATGCTGATTAGTTTCAGGGCATCTAGTAGTATATCGATCCTGGGCAGAGACTTAGCATCTGGTTTGGCTGGAGAATTTAATTTTCTAGAAATCACACAATCGAGCTGGTATTGACACGAACACTTCTCCAGGGTTCCTTTAAATGCTAGTGCGTGGAGCCGCTTCCCCGACAGCCTTTGAAAAAGCAGCCTTGGAGCCCAACGTCGGTTTATTCTGCAGGAAGAGAGTATGAAGCATCTGATCTGAGGCCCCCCTTGGTATTTTGAGGTCTTGGACTTCCTGAGGTTCTTGGCTTTGAGAATTATTGTTGTTTCTCAAGTCTTCACTCATGGCATCGTTTTGACCTTCAGCTTCAATGGCCAAAACAACAGAGCACCCTTCTGCATGGGGTCTCAGAGCCGCAAGACTTCTCATCTTCCAAGGCCGACCCCAGGAACCTCTCCTGTGTTTCTTGGCCCTGCTTCCTCCCCCTACCATGTGATGGAGAAAGAGCAGTAATGGAGTCAGACTATCAGGGGAGGGGGCCAGGTGTGAGCCCCTCCCCGAGGATCAGCCTTTACTGAAGTCCCAACGTGCCTTGGATGCTTGCTTGCTTGCCGCCTAAATGGTGGCCCCTGGTGTTTTCACTGTGGCTGCTTCTCACATCCCAGGGACCATCAGCTCCAAAATCTTTGTCCTAAAAGGCCTCAGAGACTTCATGCAAACAACTTCTCACCATCATCCTGACAGCCCGTGGTTCTCAAGCTCACGGTCAGCAACTCCCACCTCCAACCCACCATGACCTTTGCCACCACCATGCTTTCCCGCTGGTCCGAGGCAAGGCTGGGAGGTGGAGATGTCTGCCCAGGACACTATGCCTGATGCTCTGTAGCTTCTTTCCTTAGCAAGCATCACTCTCCTTGAAAGCACTCAGAGAGCCACCTCTGAGGCTGGCGCTGTGATATAGATTAAGCATCCACCTGTGGCGTCAGCATCCCATACTGGCGCTGGTTCAAGTCCTGGCTGCTCCACTTCCGATCCAGCTCTCTGCTATGGCCTGGGAAAGCAGTAGATGGCCCAAGTGCTTGGGCCCCTGCACCCGTGTGGGAGACTAGGAAGAAGCTCCTGGCTTCGGATCAGTGCAGCTCTGGCTGTTGCGGTCATTTGGGGAGTGAACCAGCAGATGCAAGCTCTCTCTCTCTCTCTCTCTGTGTAACTATGCCTCTCAAGTAATGAATAAATCTTAAAAAGAAAAAAAAAACAAGCAAGCAAACAAGCTACCTCTGTGTTTGGAGAGGGCAAACAGCCTTCTTCTGTGTTGGGTGTGCTGTGATTTAACCTGGCCTCCAAGGATAGACATTCGGGCTGTTTCCAGCTTTTCTGTATAACAAACAACGGGGCAACAGACACCCTCTTACAGAATTTTTTTTTTTTTTTTTTACTTTCTGGTTGTAAAAGCAATCTTGTTGGGCCAAAGAGGACACGCCATACAGTCTGATCCTGGTAGAGCGGTCCCTTGCTAGAAAGTAATTTTCCTTTCCCTAGCCGGGCACGCACGCTATTCTTTTTGCCAATGGCCTCTGTCAATCACCGTGTCAATTTCTCTACTTAATGGGAACAGAGGACAGGCTTATTAACTGTGTGCTTATCTGTGCCCTTCTTTCAGTATCCTCAGCCTAGGCTACATCTGGGGGCACTTTTCAAGTCTAATGGGGCACAAAATCCCCTCTAAGCTGTGAATGCCATCAGCCTTCTCGCTATGCAGACATCTAGATTCCTCACTTAGGTTTGTTGAGTGTCTGTGTTCCAGGGCCTGTTGGAAAACCCCAGTGTAGAGGGGCGGCTGTTTGGTGCAGTGGTTGAGCCACAGCCTGGGAGGCCCGCCCCCCATGGTGGAGAACCTGGATTATAATCCCAGCTCTGCCCCCCACGCCGCACCCCCGCTTCCTGCTAATGAGCACCCTGGGAGGCAGCAGGTGATGGCTCAAGGCAGTTCTGTCCCTGCCACCCACATGGGAGACCCAGACTGAATTCTAGGCTCCTGGCTTTGGTCCAGCCCAGCCTGGGCTACTGAGGGCACTTGGGGAACAAACTAGTGGCTGGCAGACCTGTTTGTCTTTCCCCCTTTCAAAAACAAAACAGAAAACCACCCTGCAGGGAAGGCCTGACTCCCGCATCTTGTTCATGAGACAGGTCCAGCAAGGTTAGTGCAAAAGCTGAGGTTCCCTTCTAAGTTCTTTTCCTAGTCTGTGTTCATTCCGACATGAGAACCCCCAAACAAAATCACAGTGGCTTCTTGGTAGTTGCTGGAGATGGATGTGGGAGCTAAAAGGACAGACAAACGCGGAGCAACACTGTCTCCTTCTGTGTGGGTCAGAACACTGCCTCTAGCAGAGGCTGCCCCTCGGTGGTCTCAGCCAGGGTTCGGAGCCCGGGGCTCTGACAGCCCACAGTAGATTCCTACACAGGTGCATTCTAGGGAAGGATCAGATCAGTGAACCATGAAATGTTGGGCTGTATCGGTGTCCAGCTTCAAAAACCAACCCAACCCAATTCCGGGCCTTAACCTGAGAGATTTTGGTTTTGGTGGTCTGGTGTGGCCTGGATGTCAGTGTTTCCCGAAGCTGCCCACATGATTCTCATTGGCACCATGGCCGAGATGCCCCACTTCTATCATTCCCACTCTGCTTTCTCTCATACCCACCATAATATATACCTAAGAAAGGTGAGGCCTGCAAAGGTGATATGCTTTGCCCAAGGTCACACTGCTACCAAGTAGCAAGGTCAGAGCCAAGTGCAGGCTGCACTGCCCAGTTGGCTCTACCAAACCGACAAGGTACAGGACCGCCATTGTTCTTCCTTTCCCAGGGTCACTCTCCTCAGTGGCGTTTTCCATGGGTGCAAATTTGGCCGTGTCAGCCCCTGCTGCTCTGCTCCTTGCCCTGTGCGGTCCTCCAACAGCTGCCCCATCGGTCAGGGTGACCAGTGTCCCTGTTCATTCTCACGGCTGCACCCCCCAGCATGTCCACTTCAAGCCACATCCTTCTTCTCCAGAGTCATCTCCAGGCTTCGCACTCGGGTCCCGCCAGAGACCTGGGCCACTACGATGCTGTCCACTTTCCCCACCAGACTGTCTGCTCCAGGAGCACAGGGCCCAGCGTGCTCCCAGCACAGGGCATCATGGGTAGGGATGCGGTCTCCGTTGTCTTGGGAGCAGAACCCTGTTCCAACTCTGCTCTCCTCGGACGTCCAGGGCACCCATCAGAGACCCAGCCCCAGTGGGCTCTGCCGCGGCTCTGCCACAGAGGCCTGGCCAGGATCTGAGCCGCGGCACTCACTGGGGTGGACTTGGCTGTGCTGGCAGCCACAGTCCACTGCTGACTCAGGTTGAGCTTACAGAAACGCTCGCCTCTGCATCCCTGCAGCCATGCTATTTCTCAATCGCATCTGTGTGTGTGTGTGCGGTGGCAAAATTGAAATATCTGTGTAGCAAGGTTGGTACGATCGTCTCCACGCTGCCTGCTTTATGTTCTGATTACCGTCATCTGCTTCCTCATAAAGTGAAAAGTCTGCATTACACAAAGTTTAATAATTGGTGTTTTAATACTTACAGAAACAGAAAGTAACAAACCAGCACAAGCAAGGGATGACGTAGAAGCACTGGAGAACTCTGCAGTCAGGTGGGTTTCTCTAACATTATCTTCCCAGATACACGCACCCTCCTCCCAAGCCCTCACTGGCCCCTTGCCTCCCTGCAGCCACCGCTCAATAGCTGATCGTCCCTTCCCGCTGCGCCCATCTCGCGGCGGCCCCAGGAATGACACCAGATGACGGCAAAGCTCCCGACTGCCAAATCCAAACCGAGGCTTTGGCCGGTACCTGCAGTGTTTCACGCCGCAGACCCCTCCCTCAGCCACGGCACCAACTGTCTTCCCGAACCATCCCAACCGCGCTGTCTCTCCCGCACGTCCCCCTGCACACTCTCACCTCTTCACCACCCTCCCTCTGCTCCATGAGGACAGGGCCACGTCCCTCTCGGCCACTGAGACCTGGCACTGGGGTGGCATGTGGCTAACAGATGACATTCAACCTGGCTGTGGGGATGACGCTGCGCTGAGCACCACACACACACACACACACCAGCTCATTCACTCCTCGCACCCCATGCAATAAGCCTCATAAAGGGGAGCGCGGTTTCGCCAGGACCTAGAACAGGGCTTGGCTGCAGGTGCGAAGTTCAAGGCCAGAGTTCTAACCCAAGCACTGGGCACTCGAACAGCCCAGATTCCATCCACGGCTGCCAGGGCTGCCTAGGTTCCTTCCCTCTGGCACCTCTGTTTTCATTTAAATATTTATTTTTATTAACTTGAAAGGCAGAGCAACGAGAGAGAAACAGAGACAGAGAGAGTTTTGCATCTGCTGGTTCACTCCTCAAACGGCTAAAACACCCAGGGCTGGACCAGGCCAAAGCTAGGAGCGAGAAACTCCATCCAGGTCTCCCACGTGGGTGCAGGGGCCCAAGCACTTGGTCCGTGCTCTGCTGCTTTCCCAGGCACATTAGCAAGGAGCTGGATGGGAAGTGGAGCAGCCGGGACTTGAACCAGCACCCGTATGGGATGCCAGCACGACAGGTGGTGGTTCATTAACTCAGCTCGCCCCAATGCCGGCCCCTCTGGCACCTCTTAAATGTATTTACAGCTGAGGAGTGTGAGCCCCAGAAGGGGGTCACTCTGCTAATGGCAGATTTAACAGCCCCCAGTCCACTGTACCAGACTGACAAATGTACGGGGACACTGTTCTCACTCTCCTTCCAAAAACTCCACTGACTGAAATTACTCGCAGGTGCACATCTGGCTGATAACTGCAAACCATCTTTACCAGTTTCAGGCAATTTCTGCTCTCAGCAGCAGTCCCCTGGGCGCTCGGCTTGCTCACCTCCCCGGGCCAGGCGTCTCGAGGCTTCACTCAACTCCTTCACGCTGGCAACTCCCAGATCCCTCTGCGGCACGGCCAACTGCCTGTCTGACAGCACCATCTGTCAATCCCCACGTCAAAACAGCAATCGCTTTCCTGCTGACGCTACACCAGCTCCTTCTCCAGAATGCATCTGACCCGGCAGCGGCCCCGGCCCCCACCCTCCGGCCCGGGCTGGGGGCCAGGGAGATCCACCTTGACTCTGTCTGCCCTGGACAGCAGACTCCACATTTCAGAGCACAGGCATCGAAGCAAGCAGCCCAGTCACCGAGAGCATAACACAGGAAGGAGTTTAACAAACGAAGTGCAAGGCACACACTGAAACTAAAAAATAAATAAATAAATAAATAAATAAATAAATAAGGATTAAAATAAACAGAGCTGGGGCCAGCGCTGTGGCGTAGTAAGTTAAGCTCCTGCCTGTGGCACAGATTCCAGGCCCCACTGCTCCACCTCCGGTCCTGCTCCCTGCTATGGCCTGGGATAGCAGTAGAAGACGGCCCAAGTCCCTGGACCCCTGCATCCACATGGGAGACCCAGAAGAAGTTCCTGGCTCCCGATTGGCTCAGCTCTGGCTGTTGCGGCCATCTGGGGGGAGTGAACCAGTGGATGGAACATCTCTCTCTGTCTCTCCCTCTCTCTAACTCTGCCTCTCAATAAACAAATAAATCTTAAAAAAAATAAAAATAAAAAAAGAGCTGTTCTGTGTTGACAGATTGGCGTCAGTTGGGGGAAGAAAGCAGTTCTTCCTGAACTAGTGATACAGATTCTGCTTTCTTTTTGCAGAAACTGCTAAGCAGATCCTACTGTCTACACAGAAGCGTGAAGAACCCCGAGCAGTCAGAACAATCCTGAAAACCGACACCATTGGGAAACACACAGTGCCCAGTTTCAAAACCTAAATAACCTCTCACCGTATACAAGTATGTTCCAATGACTTGACAGAAGCACAATAGAGAAAAAACATTGTAATACATGGTGCTGAGGGCATATACACAGGAATTCACACACATTTACCTTGTAAGACGTATAAAAATTCATTCAAAATGGCTTACAGGCGCAAACTTAGAGTGAGAACCATGAAAAAATTTCCAGAGTAAAACCTACGAGAAAATCTTTATGGTCTCGGGTTAGGCAGAAAGACAGTATTCAAAGGACAATCCATGTGACAACAACAAACTATTAAATTGGGCTTCATTAAGATTCAAAATTTGCACTTCAAAAGACAGGATTAAGAAACTGAAAAGGCAAGTCACAGATTGGGAGAAAACACTCACAGACCATGTCTTACGTCTGTACCCAGATTATACTAAGACCTCTTACTCGTCAATAAAAGTAAGCAGAGTATTTAAATCGATATTTCACCAGAGAAGATACACACATTGCTTACAAGCACATGAAAAGATGTTCAGCATCATCGGCTGTCAGGGCAGTGTCAATCAGAGCCACAAGAAAACCATCCACATGGCTATCCCCTGGTGAAATGAATACACAAAACGTGGCCTAACCATACCCTGGAATACTACTCAGCAAGAAAAAGGGAATTACTGACACAGGCCACAAGATGGACAAGCCTCAAAGAGCTCTGCTGCTGAACAAAAAGAAGCCAGATGTAAAACACGGAACCCTGTGTGATGCTGTCCGTGTGAGAAGTCCCGAAAAAGAAACCCCAGGACAGAATGCGGACTGTTGGTTGCTTGAGGCTGGGAGGGGGAACGGGTTTGACAGCAAATTGGATACAAGCTCTCTCGCTCTGACAGAGGTATTCTCAAATTGCTCGGGACGGTTTGCACAGCTCTGAAATTCACTAAAAAATCAACTCAGTATAAACTCAGTACAGATCAATTTTACGACGACAGACAAATTCACACCTCCTTAACTCCATACAGGGAGAGGGAGGCAAGAACAGGCTCTGGATTCGAGTCCTCATACCAGCTGCTTCACTCAGGAAGTATTCAACTTTGTGTGTTAGTTTTCTCATCTGTAAAGTGGGCATTACATGAGCAGATACTTTGTAATTGTGAGGATTCCGTGAACAGTGCCAGCCACACAGCGATCATTAAGTGTTAGCTAGTTTTCTTATTAGGGTTATTAGGCTTACGCTCACGTAACTGTTAAGACAATTTCATGTAGTAGTTAGTTCCCTAATTAAACATCTTTCCTTCCAAGACTTCCTCCCTGGCCTTCAGGGCTGTACCACCTTTTGCCCAAACACTTGCCACAGCCTCCTGTCTTTCCAACCACTTCCAGGCTTCTTCCTCACATTGGACCTCCACAGCCTGGAGGGGCCACACAGGAAACGGAAACAAAGCCCCCCGCAGAACCCGCCTAGGATGAGGATCAAGACCCTCCCGATTTGGAACCTCTCTCAGCCCTCTACCCCACCCCCCACATCAGAGTGGAGAATCACCGCCCCCAATGGTCCCTTTCGTCTGTCCACTACGCTAATTCTTTCATGGTCAGTGAGCCTCACAAAGCTTCCCCAAGTCCCTCACGGTCGGTTCAGTTTGCCTTAGTGTGCCTCCAGGGACAGCCTGTGCCTAGCTCCAACACTGCACGGAGACGTGCTGATTACAAAACCTGCCGCGCATCTTGAAGCCAGAACTCAGCACAGTCCTCCATGCCAGATGCTCAATAAAATGCTGACTAAGCCAAATATGGACTAGTCAGCATTTTCTCAGGTCCTAAAATGCGCTTAGCCTTCTAAACAGTCGGGATGTTTTTAAGCTTATCAGTTAAGAAAATGAGACACAGGTAGCCTGGGAAAATGGAAATCTTAACAAGGCTGTAATTTGAAGGGCTACTTTAGGTAGCCAAAGAGAAAATACATGGGTGACGTCACTTCCCCCCCAGGAAGTCATTCAGAGAGTCCTCACCACCAGTGGTAGAGAGCCGGCCGGCAACCTTCATCTTTGCAGTGGGATTTCTTCGAACCTTCGGGACATCAGTGTTTCTCAATTCCGAAACTCCCGATCTGTTCAGCATTTCCGATAGCCCACAGGGGGAACACGGAACAATCACTCTCAGGGGAATTCTTTTTTGTAAGAGCTTAGTGACCCACCTCTAGTTTACAGGGGAATAGCACAATCACCCTATGCCCAGGTTCCATCCCAGGTGTGCTGATTTAAGCGGTCTGGGGTGGGTACACCAGCAGAAGTTCACCAGATATTTCTAAAGAACAGCTAAAAGGCAAGACCCACTCTTGGGAAATCCTAAATGAGTTCCCTTTTTCTCATATAGAACGTGGCAGTTATGCTGTGATTTATAGACAACTAGAAATCCTCCTGAAAGTGAAATGCATAAATGCTTGAAAAACCGAAATGGATACTTTGGGTCTTAAAAGTTTGGGGAATTCATCTGATCAATATGCATTATTCTTATTAAATAAACACAATTAAAAGTTATTAAAATTTGTTTAAAAGTCCCCAAATCATAATTTGAGTAAGATTAAGATGTACAACCACAGTCAAGTACACACCAAATAAAAGTTGTGATTCTAAAAGGCAACCAGAATCACCTTATTTCTAGAAGACACAGCTTAGGCCGGCTGTGAACAAATCCCCACTTGCAGACATGGCACGTTTTTCTCGAATCATCAAAGTGAAGAGGACACAGTGGCTGGCCTTGTGGCGCAGCAGGTTAAGCCCACACCGGCATCCCCTATGGGAGCGCCACTCCCCGGCTGCTCCACTTCTGATCCAGCTCCCTGTTGACGCGCCTGGGCGGGCAGCAGCAGATGACCCACGCACTCGGGCCCCTGCACCCACGTAGGAGAACCTGACAGAGATCCTGGCTCCTGGCTTTGGCTTGGCCCAGCCCAGGCTGTTGTGGCCATTTGGCTACTGCACCAGCAGAAGGGAGATATCTTTCTCCCTCTTTCTCACTGACCTTCGAATAAATAATAAATAAATCTTAAGGGAAAAAAAAAAGTGAAAAGCAAATGGGACCTCAGCAAAGTACTGACTAGGTATGGTTTCTGGTTCCTGTGTTTGCAACATAACTGCAGAGGCCCGCTTAACAGACACACAGCGTGCGACAGCATTTAGCATTGGCCATTCTTAAAATGGGAAAATACGGTTAAACCACACGTCTGTAAACATCTATTACTCTTCTCCAGAAAGCTGCTATTGATTCTCTTCATTCTTTCAAGAAACATTCTGCCACTGATATTTTGAGATATCTGAATTTTTAAAAAAGCCATCCATAAAAAAAAAACTTTAAAAAACATAAACACCTGAAAAGCAGTCAACATTTTAAAACCTGTTGAGACTCTGGGTCTCTTTTCTTTAACTTTTTAAGTTAAATATAAAAAACAAAATAAAAACTATATCAAAGTATTTGTTACACAAAACTATGGTGAATCATAGCAAAATATCTACACCAAGCACACGCGGCTAGAGTAGTCTCCATGCCATCGAAATCGTTACTAACTACGGTTTTCATATATTTTGATCCGCTTTACCAATATTATTTCCTCTTTTATCATAATTTCATTACCCTTTATTAAAAAATAAATTTGAAAGAATAAATTGTATTCTGGCAAAATAATTTCAAATTAAAGTTTCTTACTTAAAAAACGAGGGCTACATTTTATAATGGGAAGGACTGGAAATAATATCTTAGTGCTAACAATAATCTCATATTAAATAAAACAAAGGTGTGTAGTTCTAATTACAATCTTACTGATAATTAATAAACACGTAACATAGATAATTAATAAACACGTAACAGGTAAAGTAACGCAGGTCAACACCAAGCAACGTCTACTAAATTAGAAGAGAATTAGCCTCAGAAGCATCAGGGACTCTACACTTCTGCTATAATTTAAAAAAAATGCAAAGACACAAGACAAAATGCACTTATTACTTTTAGCATGTTAAAAACAATCACATCCAAAAAGTATACAGATAAAAAATGTCATAGATAACATAGGAAAATAGTGCGTGTGTGTATATATATATATATTTGGCATATATATATATAAATCTACAGTATTTACCACTGTTGATATATATATTTTTGGAGCAGCTCAGATGCCGCCATCATCAACTAAATTGTACAGCTTGGTTTTATTACACATCACAGAACCAGAGGTTAAACACTGGAAGTAATATCCTCAGCTACATCTTTATATACATTTATTTCTCAGCTTCCACATGATCTAAATCAAGAGCCCCATCATTTTCTCGGGATTTTGTTTAGCATCAGTGTAGTGTTTAGCTTTAATACACTTGAATTTGTTTTGACATTTAATAACATTATTACTAAGTTGATTAAAATTACATTAGACTCATTATATACATAAAAATCACTGTCACATTCACTAGCTAAACCAATATTACTTTGATTTTAAAAGACATATTTTTGTACCTTGAAAGCTTAAAGCCCCAGCTTGCAACAGGAAGAACCAGCAATGTTATGTTTTCTAATTCTCTACTATTCAAATGTGAGCAAAGAAATGTGGAAAACAAGCTCTCTGATTAAACACAAGGCCGTGCCTTGTGGGAATCCCCAAAACTTTGCCAGTATCTTGGTAACTTTAGTGTAACAATATTTTTAAAAACATCCCTGCTTCCTACGCTCCATGAACTTGAATTTGTTTTCTCTGAAGCAGAAAAAAGAATTTTGAAAGTATGAAAGTCATATTTTTTTAAAGATCAAAATTCTAGGCTCCTAATAATTAGGATTTTTGAAAAACAATTTGAACATGGATACGTCCAGTGATATCCACTTCTATACAGAAAGACTGGCAGAGAAAGATCTCGTGCAGGACCACCGTGAGGGCCCCCTGACGTGAGCCCCTGCATGGAGTGAAGGGGCAGAGGCGAGAAGGAACCTAGCTGCTATCCTGCTGTCCGTGTGGGTGCCGGGTCATCAGTAAAGGATGACCTGGTGGAGGCGTCCCCAGGGGAGCTCCGGAGTCTGCTCAGAGCTTTGCAGGAGTCAGACCAGAGCCAAGGGGCACACACGCGCGACGACTCGCCTCGGGAAGTGGATGCTCTGAGCGTTGCACCTTTGGCCATAAACTTACGTTAACTGCCTTAATTTTAAGCACCATTAAATGGCTATCCTTTCACTCCGAAGTCTTTAATTTTCAGACTGATAAAGAAAAGGGCGGCCACTGAAGGCGAATGATAAGCATTCTGTGAGCTGCTGCACTAAACAAGTCAGCATAGACTCTACAGTCAGGTCAGGACCTGGACTGAGGAAATGGGGGAGACTGGACTAACAGACAATTTAACGAAAAGACGAACAACGGCTTATTCCAGGGATCTCGATTAAAAGCACATTTTAAAAATGTTTCTTCAGTTCTGTGTCCAAATACGTATGCATCGATGCCTATAACTATTAAAAGATGTTTTACTACATAGAGCTTAAAAAATATTCTAGTTGTTCAGTGCTTCGTAACATTAGTCAAAATAGAATGGGCCAATAAGAGTAAAACCGCTCAGGTTTTGGGGGAAGATACCAATGGAGCTGAGGAACGAGTGATCATTGTGCGTGCACCCCTAAACGCTATTGCTGTGTTTCCAGGTTCAGTGGTGATGCGATTCAAAATGCTCCTCTTAAGCACATCTACATGGGGATGAAAACATCTCCGTAGATTTTTTGTTACTAACATACAGCAGAACTGTGCGAGTTGTTTACAATAGTAGAAAATACTGCTTTGGCAATCATCGACATAGCAACTGTATTCCATACGGTTTCTGTTCACTTGGCGTGAGCGAGGGCGCACAGCGGTCTCACAGCAACACTGACTCTTGAACAGAAAGCCCGTCCCGGTTTCTGTAGTGGTAGGCTGGCGGCGAGGGCCCTGAATACTGACACCTGGACGGGCTGGCACCCTCGACAGCTGGCGAGGTTCTGTACCGCACTGGACTGTCGACGGAGACTGCGGGCAGGTCGTGGGCCTGGAAGGGCACGTGCTGAAAGGCGGGGTATTTCGGGAAACCGCTCACGTGGCCACGGCTGGCGTCTGGAGGCCACGATGGGCCGTGCATCTCAGGTTTGTACCTGTAACTCACTTCGGACCACTTTCTGTGGTCTGGCAAATAATCCACGGGAGGAATGATGAATTTTCCGTTCTTTGGTGACCCTGCATTGCCCGAGTAGCCCCCGGCACCAGTCTCAGCAGGAAGGACTTCAATGCGACTAGACGGCAGGACGATGGGCGCGGGCCGGCCGTAGGCCTTCTCAGGGGAAAACCCCACGGACAGAGTGGAGCCGTACGGCCTCCGGGAAGGGTTCCCCTGAGCCCCGGGGCTGAACGGTGGGGACGCGAAGCTGCTCTGAGCAGCGGGCGTGTGCTTTGGAGAACTCCCGTGGTAGACAGGGGGGTTGCTGTAAGACGGCGGGAGCACCGGCCCGCGCTCCTCCCCTTCCAGCTGGGACGGGTACCTGGCGTGCCCGGGAGGCGGCACTGTAAAAGTAAACCTGCTGGCTACTTTGGAGGGGCTAGGGCTGGCCTCGGCGTGCTTTCTCGGACTGCTGGGGTACCCGGCGTCCCGGGGGCTCTGAGAGTAAGCTCTCTCTAGAGCACCCTCCACAGCAGTTCCCACCTCATTTTCCGTCCCAGGGACATTATCATACTGCGAGGCGGTGGAGCCGCGCTTCCCGTCGTCCGCGTCCAAGACCTTGATCTTCTGCCTCCCGTTGGGCGCGCGAACGTCAGCAGAGCCTGGCGCGGTGACCGGGAGGGTGGGGTGCACTGCCCTGCTGTGTCCTTCCAAGGCGTACTGGGCAGTTCTTTCCAGGGCGCCCGTGTCTGACGGCTTCTTCCATTTGGGCACAAACTCCTTCCTGACATTCGAAGTGGCATTGCTATTCTGGTTAGCAGTCGCGTGGTTATATTGCTTGGAACTGTCCTGCAGACCCGAAGAAAGCTTTTTTGGAAACTCGGCCTCATCTTTCAGCTTTTTGCTGTCCTCGTCTACCGACTTCCGCCTCAGCTGCCTGCCTCTTTCCGGCGTCCCGGTTCTGCTCGGGTGGTGCGGGGAGTGCTCGTGCTTCTTGGAGGGCGACGCTCCACTTTCTCTCCTGCCGCTCGTGTGGGGACTGGGCCTGCCGACACTCCTCTGTCCATTACTCAGCTGAGTCAGGCCGCCAGACTGAACTTCCGGCGGAAGCTGCCCCAGAGGCTTCTTTGGATATTCATCCTCTTTACCTAAGGAAAGATACGTGCACACGTAAATCAAAGGCACGAGCAGATTGCATCCAACCTAAGAAGCCCATTATTAGTAACTGCACACTTTTCACACATGCACTGAAGAACACACACAGGCTGCCTTTAAAACTTTATAGAAATGTGTTTTATGGAAAACTATGCATAGATTTCAAAAATTCTTTACACCAAAATAAATTTGCTTTTCATTCCATTTTCCCCACAACCTCTTTCAAGTGCCTTTTACACCACATATCTCTATACTACACAATTTTAGAGCTGATGAGAAGTATTTTTTTAGAGATACTGATATTAAATCTCAAAATCTCATAGCCAGTGTGTGCGTGAAAACTTACAGGTAAGGTTCATGCAACTCTATCATATGCCATGCATTTTGTAAAAGCATATGGTACAAGCTTTTTCAATAATGCAAAACTGATACTCCTATTTTTATCTCTAACATCATCAGCAGTTTAAGTAGTTCTCACTTTAACACACCTCAACTGAAATGGTTTTAGAATCTCAGTAAAACTTTTTCAAGCATTCTGCCAAACATAAACGTCAACTGCTGACCAACTACGGTCTCAAAGTTGTCCCATAAATAGATTATTATCATCCTCATCTTAACTGTCTCCCACAGTACAATTTTCTGATAAAAAGAAAAATGTGCTTTTTGTCTGAAAGCTGACATTCTAAAAAATCCTAATTTAAATGTAATAATAAGAAAAAGAATTTTAAAAAGACAATCAAATTGGGTAGCTTTAGGTTTCAAATAATTAACAGAATATTCATGAGGAATTGAAGAATGGCATAACAAATTGGTCACTTAGTAAACAGAGTGTAAAAAAATTGTTCATTACTATATATATATATATATATATATATATATATATATATCCAGTAACCATCACCTTGAAAAAAGGAAGATTCACTTATAGGAATTCCATGTTTTTCACCTGTTATTACAAAAGAATATATTGCCACTTAAAAACCAGTTTTGTTCTCCTCAAATCCCCCATTTGTCCACTGCACTGCTTCAGGCATTGTGCCAAACAACGGGACGTTAGTGACAAGCACATAGACATGGTCTTTGTGTTGCTACTGCTCACAGTGTCGGTGACAAAAGTTTCCTTATTTATCCTCACACAATTCTCCTGGAAAAGAAATTCAATGGTCTTTTGTGGGGTGGGGAGGAAACAGAGAATGAGGAAGAAACACTAGCTTCTGAATGATTACACTACTGTCAGAGTAACTGAGCTAAAAATAACCTTAATACTCTTCCAATTCCACAGCACTAAAACTTGTAGGGGAAAAAAAGCAGGCTTTTTTTTTCAAGCCGTGAAACCCCATACTACAAAGCAAATATAAACAAAGCCACTCTAGTCAAGGTGGGAAGGCCCCTGGCTCCTCTCAGGCCCCCTTCTGCTCTTCCGTCAGGGGCAGCTCCTTGGAGTCCATGGGCTCCAGACAGATCTCGTTTCTCCTTGTGTTTTCTAGAAGGGCAGGCAGTGTCTCAGAGGTCACGGTGGCAGGAACTGAATGAACACCTGCACCGCTACCCCAGTTCACTGTTGTCTCCTACTGTGCCATTTTCATCAAGCCCCAGAGAAACTTCCGATGAGTTTTACCTGAATTTAATTTTACTTCGAAAATATCTACACAAACTATTTTATATATTTGAAAGCACAGATGCACCAGTATTGGGGGCAATGACAGTTTATTGCATTCATTCATCCATTCAACAAAGCATAATGTAACTATTAGGTACTGGCTACACAAGGACATTACGAGACAGGTGAAGTCTCTGTTCTTCCAGACCTCATATTCTTACTGTGCATAGTGCTGTGAAGACAAGTGTGAAAAGTAATGAAAACCATCGTGGGTGGGATGAGCATTTGGTGCACAGGTTAAGATGCCTCTTTAGTGCCAGCACTATGGTGAACCAGGTAAAAAGCCTCCTTCTGCGGCACCAGCATCCCATATGGGTGCCAGTTCTAGTCTTGGCTGCTCCTCTTTCAATCCAGCTCTCTGCCTGGGAAAGCAGTAGAAGATGGCCCAAGTCCTTGGGCCCCTGCACCTGTGTGGGAGACCTGGAGGAAGCTCCTGGCTCCTGGCTTTGGATCAGCCCAGCTGTGGCTGTTTCAGCCATTTGGAGAGTGAACCAGTGGATGGAAGACCTCTCTCTGTGTCTCTCCCTCTGTCTGTAACTCTAACTCTCAAATAAGTAAATAAATAAATAAATAAAATCTTTTAAAAAAAAATGCCACTTTTGGTGCCCATATCCCATGTCAGAGTGCCTGGTCTGAGTCCCAGCTCCATTTCCAATCCAGCTGCTGCTAATACACACTCTGGGAGCCAACAGGTGATGGTTCAAGTATGTGGGTCCCTGTCACCACAACAGAGGCCAAAACAGCCTAGCCCTGGCTGTTGCAAGCAACCGGGGTGTGAACCAGCAAATGGAAGACCTCTCTCTATCACTCTGCCTTTCAAGTAAATAAAATATATATTTAAAATAATGAGGGTGGCACAGAGCAGGGAACCAGAGAATGGCCAGGGTAAGGTCCAAGGACAGGCAGAGTCACATCACACAGGGCCCTGGAGACTATGGTGAGGCCCTCCAACTTTGTTCTGAGTTAGATGCACCTTAACACAGGCTTTTCAGCAAGAGAGTTATGTGAGCAGCTGTCTGTCATGGAAGGGTCACTTACAAAGGCAGACTGCGGGAGTAAGTAATGATCATGACACCACCACCAACAGCTAACACCAAAGGACTCACAGGCAAAGCTGCAGTCAGTACTATTTTCCTTACTTCACCGATGAGAAAACTAAGGCAGAGATTAACACGCTCAAGGGCCTACAGCTAAGGTGGCCAGCCCAGAACTGAAACCCAGAGCACATTCCAGGCCTTGGCTATTTACTCCTAAACTGTACCGTGCTTCTCAGGTGGATATTTAAAGTGGAGTCTACATGTGTGCTCAGTGCGTTAGACAGGAACTGCGAGAGGATGAGCAGAGCGAAGGCTCACTTCTGACTCAAAAACAGGCAAAGCAGCTGGCAAGACCAACACTGTCCTTGTATCTTTTTGTGATAAAGATATTTTATGACATGTGAACAAACTATTTTAAGTGAAAAGTCAAACTTTAAAACGCTTGTCAATGAGAAAACTTTTCAACATTTTTTATGAATGTTATACGTGAAATGACCTGACACACTTCACGTTAGTTTCTGACTAGTCAATTAAAATATATGGAATTGGGGCCGGCACTTTGGCGCAGCGGGTTAACCCTCCACCTGTGGCGTGGCATCCTATATGGGTGCCGGTTCTAGTCCCGGCTGCTCCTTTTCCAATCTAGCTCTGTGCTCTGATCTGGGAAAGCAACAGCAGAAGGCCCAAGTCCTTGGGCCTCTGCACCCACGTGGGAGACCAGGAAGAAGCTCCTGGCTCCTGGTTTTGGATCGGTGCAGCTCCAGCCGTTGTGGCTATTTGAGGAGTGAACCATCGGATGAAAGACTTCTCTCTCTGTCTCTCTCTCTGTCTGTAACTCTACCTCTCAAATGAATAAATAAAATATTTAATATATATATATATGGAATTCAGAAAGCTGACTTAAATATAGCCCAAGTCAAGAATATTCACAAGCAGCTATTCAGCTGATTAGGTTATAAACAAGAAATGAGATCTGTCTAGTAGCCCTCAGAATTTGTTATCAGCTTATAAACAGCTATCCATTTAGTCCCATCTAAGCATATGAATTCAATCTTCCCTGTCCAGGGGTGGGGAACATCCGTGAAATAATTTCAGCTGGCCTTTCCAAGGCAACTACAGGCGGGACTCAAAGTTCAATACATCTACAGCAGGCTAATTTTTAAGGTGATAATTTTGTATGGCCCGTAAATGAGGTTATACATATCCAAATAGCCACTGGCAGAAAAAAAGTTTCCCCACTCTTGAAGCAAATAAACACCAGCAAACAAATCATAAAGCAGATATGAAGATCAAGGTAATAAAAATAATTATGTCCTTTGTTTTAGTCCTCACTTTCTGACAACTTTCTAAGGGCAGAATATAGTAATGTGATTGGCTAATTTAATGGCGAGTTGCAATTTCATCAGAATATATCAGCTGGGGCCGGCTCTGTGGCATAGCAAGTTAAATTGCTGCCTGCAGTGCCGGCATCCCATATGGGGGCCAGTTTGATTCCTGGCTGCTCCACTTCCAATTCAGCTCCCCTCTAATGGCCTGGGAAAGCAGTGGAGTATCACCCAAGTCTTTGGGCCCCTGCACCGATGTGGGAGACCTGGAAGAAGCTCCTGGCTTCAGCCTGGCTCAGCCCTCGCCGTTGCGGCCATTTGTGGAGTGAACCAACAAATGAAAGACCTCTCTCTCTGTGTCTCTCCCTGTCTCTGAAACTCTGCCTTTCAAATAAAATAAATAAATCTTAATATATATATCAGCCAGTCACCAGAACACCCTTATCAGGTTGGCAAGTGGGAATCTTACAAAAAGCATAACTGTTAGAAAGCAAAGCAAAACTGCGGCATGAAAGAGTGCCTTCAAGACGTGCTGTCACAGGGACGAGATCAGATTCCACGCAGAGTTACCCGTTCAGAGCCTCGGAGCCACTCCCCTCCCTGCCACACCCGGCTTCCGGCAGCCAGCATGAAGAATCATTAACTTCGTTAGTTCATATGAAATAATTTAACATGTTTTTAGAAGGAATGGATTTCACCTGGCACCACCACTGCCCCTGCTCTCCCTGAACAGAGGTGAAAGCTCCAGATGCTTGTCTCATCTCAGAATGCAGATGCTCAGGTTCCGTCTTCACTGTGTATGAATCCACAAGTCATAAAACACCATTCATCTGAAATCAGGTGTTTCAAAGGGGAGCTTCCTAAGGACTACATTCTAAATCTCAAAACTGCTTTGGTTGACTAAAAACAAATGTTAGGGCTGCCTTTCTCTGCCAGCAAAGAGTCACACACTTCACTACATATGATCATTGCTCATATGGTCCCAGCACACTGTCCATGCCAACAATGCAATGAAACCAAAACGGTAATTCAAAATTACATAACCATGGCAAAAATGCGAAGTGAACATAACAAACATGGAAGTAGACACAGGCAGTAACAAATCTGTAGGCACATCTAGGCTTCCGGCACTTGGCAGATTCCTGTATGCCATTTCCTAAGTGTTAATGCTCACCAACTTACTTTTGGGAATGGTCAATTTGAGGTTGGCTTCCATATGTACTTTCCAGACACACTCAGCTACAGTTACTTACTGACAATGAAGAAGATGAAATTATACCCTTTTAAGTGTAGCAACCCAGAATTTAGCAATATTCTAGGTAATTGAACCAGAGAAAAATGGATGATTACTTCTCTTATCTGGAACACTGCAGTAGAAAATGGATCAGCTATGCTGGCAGTCCTTTGGCTCTGCTGGCCCTTTTCACAGACACTGCTCCCCAAATGTTGTTAACCTGAGTATTTCCAAGGCCTAGTCCACAGCAACAAGCTAACCCAAGTTCAGATCCCACCTCTGTCCCTAACAGGCTGTGTGAACTTAGACAAGTTTATGTAATCTTTCTGAGTTTCCCATTTCTCATTTACAAATGAAGATGGTAATATATATTTTATAGAATTGCTGGGAAAATTGGAGTCATTATATAAAAAATCTAGTGTATTTCCCAGCATATCCTGGATGCTTGGTAACTGGTTTTTATTATTACACCTTTATATATAGTTGTTTTTGAACAAGTTCAATGAGGTGCTTTGTGTTGATTCTCACCCATTTGTTTTACTCTGACTCTCCATTTCAACCTGAGCTCTCCATGGAACTCAATGTTACTTTTAACTCCCTCTGCAATGTTATCCACAAATCTAAACATCATGCTATCAATGCTTTTATCCAAGTGATTGATAGCAAATACTGAAAAAGGAAGGACCAAAGCTAAAGCACCTTCAACTTCTCTGAAATGTAAAAGAACTCTTAAAAAATCAATAATAAAATGAAGCACACCATGTAGAAAAAAAAATAAATTACAGACATGGTCAGGAAATTCACGGAATAAACAGAGCAGATAAACAGAAAACTAAATAATGGACGTGAAATTTATTCATCCTTTAATTTACTTAGTTTTTGTACACAATTTTTGATCCTTTAAGAGATGACAACAAATCTTGGTTTTCTACTGTTATGTGAGAACATTAGGCCCCAGCAACACTCATGCATGGAGAAATAAAAGTGCTGCAGTTTAAAAAAAAAAAGTTATCCAATTTGACAAGGCACACTTGGGTTTTTGATCTAGCAATTCCACCTCTAGGAATTTACTCTAAAACAATAATTAAAAATATACAAAATATCTCCTATATGGATGTTCAAAACTGTATTATTTTAAAAACTGCTTGAGGCCAGTATTGTGGCAAAGCAGGTTAAACCACCACTCGTGATGCCAGTATCCCATATGAGCTACGTTTCGAGTCTTATTCACTCCACTTCCAATCCAGCTCTCTGCTAATACAGCTGAGAAAGCAGTGGAAGACAGTCTAAGAACTTGGGCTTCTGCCTAAACAATGACGAAGTTTGTGGACTCAAGAGATTTCCATAGCTTTGGCAACTCATGACAAGAGCCTTGGGTGATCACTGACATCATACATAAGAGTGTCAATTGTTAAATCAACAACAGGAGTCACTGTGCACTTGCTCCCCATGTAGGACCTCTGTCCTTAATGTGTTGTACTATGAGAATTAACAGTACAACTAGTCTTCAAACGGTACTTTATACTTTGTGTGTCTATGTGGGTGCAAACTGATGAAATATTTACTTACTATATAAAAATAATTAAAAATGAATCTTAATCAAGAATGGGATGGGAGAGGGAGTAGGAGGTGAGATGGTTTGAGGGTGGGAGGGCGGGTATGGGGGGAAGAACTGCTATAATCCGAAAGTTGTACTTACGAAATTTATACTTATTAAATAAAAGCTTTCTATTAAAAAAAAAAAGAACTTGGGCCCCTGCTACCTACATGGGAGCCCCAGATGGAGTCCTGGGCTCTTGGCTTTAGCCTGGTCATTGCAACCATTTGGGGAGTAAACCAGCGGATAGAAGATTTCCCTCCCTGACTCTCCCTCTCTCTCTAATGCTGTCTTCCAGATAAATAAAGGTGAAATTAAGTGACAATTTCAGATAAAAAATCTGGTAAAGTAAGTTATGGAAGATAAAACAAACCTGTATAAGTCTATTGTCATGTTAATGCCTTTTGCTTACATTAACCAGTAGAAAAGCAAGTTATAAACAGTATGTATAGTATCATCTCATGTATTATGAATGATATATAGGTATAAACTTCTATTTGTCTATACAAGTGGCTATAAGGAATAATACTAATAGTGGTTAACACCAGAAAGCACTTTTAGATCAAATAATAATTATTTTTGCTTAACTACTACATAATCTGTCTACTACAAACATGCATTGCTTGCTCAATAAAAAAGTATAAAGTTTAAAAGTAAATAATACTCTTTAATAAGTAGAATATTAATAGAATACTAATCTGTAGTTTTGGTGTATGATTTGTAAAACAACATTTTTAACTGATTACCCAAAGGACTTTGTGAAATGCTTTATTTCTATCTGAATACACTAGGTCAATAGCATTGATTCACTAAATGAGCAATCTTAATAAAACACAAAATCATATTAATCAGATATGACATTCCCAATGTGGCCATGATTAATGATCACATTCTTTGCTTTCCAAGCACTCAAAAATCCATTTTCCAACTAATCTATCTATTGATTCTTGCTTCAGATAGACCTCACATTTACTGATCTGTGATTTATATTATACAACTTCTATGTCTTCTAAACAGGTTAAACGTATTTTTCTCAAACACTCATCTGGCTCCACAGTTTTCAAAGATGACTGACAACCACCGGACCTCATCTGTAAGTTCCTCTATCAGAGGGCTGTTCCAGGACATGCTCACTCGCAACAAATAGCTGGCCTTTTAGTCATAGTTCAGCTTCATTAGGCTTCATGGTGCTCTTACCAATACTTCTACAAATTTTTCCCATTCTAAAATTCTTTTTTTTTTTTTTTTTTGCTGAAAACATGGAAGTAACACATATCAAGAATAATGTCTGCCTTCAAAATGGATCCCAGTGGCCCCTCAGTTCACTAGTTATTCTCTTCCCAAAAGAAGGAGTCACTTTCCTGGCATTAGTTACACTGTCGGGGTAGGGGAGAGAGTGAAGAAGGGAGCCACCAGAGGGTTTGATAAAGGGAAAATGTGGTGGGTGAGATTACAGTAACAACCACAACTCTAGAGCGGAGGGGGAAGAAGGTGGCCGGAGAAGAAAGAAAACTGAAAGAGACAGCTGAGCACCTCTGGAGCAAAGACTGCCTCGCAGACTACACTACGGTGCAATATCCTCAGATGCTCAATCCAATGCCCTTTAAATGCATCGAAGATTCATCGGGACACGCGGTAACCTGTGTGTTACAGATGTAAGTCATGTATTTCTCAGGAGGAGGAAAAACCTGAGAAGGAACGGAGTGACAGAGGAGATCAGGCAAGGGAATGCGTCTTCATGTACAGAGGAGATTTAATTTTGCAATATAAAGGGCAAGAAAACATTTACCTTAACACTGGCCTATATTTAAGTCATGTTAGAATTAACAACAAATTCAACATGCCCCATTATTTGAGTGGGTAAGAGGTCAAATTGCACCCTAAGAGGAAAAACATCTCAGGCTACTCCCAAAAATTCAAAAGCAGCATCTGAAAGTTTCTTCATGGTAGCCCACAGTACATTTCCCTTCCCTCTGTGGACCACCGTGAGTTCTACTTCTACCGTACTTCTTCCCACAATATCTGAAATAGTAATAGAATGACAGGGAAGGTGCTGACAAAATACACACTCATTCATGCATAATTCATGTGAATTAGAGAATGGCACACTGTCCTTATAGGCAGGTCATAAACACACTGGTTATCAATACCCATGGTCCATGTGTCACAGGGCTTGGGAGTGGTGGTGGCAGGGAATCCAGTACAGACAAATTAACACTCTAGCTAATTAGTTCCTGAATGACAACTGTTCATTGGGAACCAGAAGCACATGGTAACTACTTCAAAGGTATAAAACCATTTAAAGGATACGGCTTCTTTGCCTCCATAAAGATTTTCAATAAGGAAGAGAGAAATACAGAGTTAACTAATATACATAGTTTAAAAGCCCCAGTTTCAAGGGCAGTGAAGGAAGCTAGGCTAGGAGGCACTGCTCGGTGGAGAGGCACCCGTACCGGTGCCAGGGCCAGGCTGCAGGGTTGCGCTTTGCTTAATTTCAGTATCAGCTCACTCGCCTGCTTCGTGGTGATCTGTGACCAGGATGCGTGCTGAGTGCTAACACGCCTAACCAACAGACGGCCCATGAAGCTAGGATCAACTTCTACCATAAATACCTGTTGCCAGATGACACTGCAGGATTAGGCCCCACACAAGTCACTTCCCTAACTCACCCCAAACCTCTGGATAGTGTGAAATTGGCAGTAATGCTGTTCACCTCTCTGGGAGGAGGCTCTATGGGGCGCCCAAGCCAGCACCACCTGCAGAGGAAAGCTGTGCCTTCCAGGAGCAGGAGTATGAGCAGGGTGAGAGCAGGAGTGAGAGGAGCAAGCAGACATCCGGGGAAGAAGTGGGGAGAGAAGGATGGGGGACAGGGAGGAGGGGGACAGGTCCCGGGAGGCAAATAACGGAGTGGACCAGAAAGAGGGAAGCAGAGGTGACAGGAACAGTGAAGCCCAAGACAGAGGTGCCACAGACAACCTAGGACGAGCAGGGACATGCTGGTGAGCTCAAACCAGACCAGGGTAAAAGCCTCTCAAACACAAGGCCTCTGTCCCTGGGCCAGCTCATCTCTAAGGTCGTTAACATATCTGACTGCCTTGGGAAGGCGATTTTTGATTAGCTACTCAACTTGCATGGAAGGGCAAATGCCACCATCACTAATATTTTCATAAGACGCTAAATACTCTCTACTTGTTTTCTCTCTCACAAAAATAGATCCAAGCAAAACATGAAGCATTTTAGTACAATCTTTTTTAGAACTATTTCAACCTTGAACTACCCCACCCACCCTACCACACACACTGTATACATGGCCTTTGGTTTACAGATTTACTTTCACATTTAAGCAACTTATTGTAACTAACAGATTCAAGCCTGACGTCAAAACATTCAGCTAAATGTAGGCAGTAAGTATTACTATTTACTATCTATGCTTTTGTACAAGGCTTCTTTTCAAGACACAGCAATGCTTTTTTCCTCTTCAGTAAAATGAAAGTTTACTGATTTCCCCCTTAAAAGGTAGGAAGTTGGGCTGGTGCTGTGATACAGTGCATTCAGGCCCTGACCTGCAGTGCCAGCATCCCATATAGGCACTGGTTCAAGTGTCGGCTGCTCCACTTTCAATTCAGCTCTCTGCTATGGCCTGGAAAAGCAGTGGAAGATGGCCCAAGTCCTTGGGCCCCTGTACCCATGTGGGAGACCCAAAGAAGCTTCTAGCTCCCAGCTTTGCATTGGCTCAGCTCCAGCCATTACGGCCATTTAGGGAGTGAACCAGCAGATGGAAGACCTCTCTCTGTGGCTCTACTTCTCCCTGTAACTCTTTCAAATAAATAAAATAAATATTTAAAAAATAATAAAAATAAAGAGGTAGGAAACACCACATTTCCTATCAGATATAACATACAATGTTTTTCATCAAAATAACTCATCGGGGATGTTTTTCACTGATGTGTGATTATCTGCAGTGGTGAGAATTTTACAGCAGTGCTAATAATGACAATAATCTGCTTCAAAAACATGTAACTGGACACATTTTAGAATAAAGAGAAAAATTTTTGATTTTTTTTAACATGTTTTTCTTTAAAACACCACCAGCACCACCACTACAAAAGTCAACTGTCCCTAAATAGGGAAAGAGTCCCTCTTAAGTCCCTTCAGGCTTGTCAATCTTGAATCCTACTCTGGTCTCTGTCACCACCCAGTGGCCATCGCACTCAACTACATGACTTGCAGAAGAATTGCCTTGGGGGCATGAGCAGCTTTTTTGCATCCAACAAGATATATAATTACAGTAAAGTGTTCCCTTGTGAGCAGCATCCTACTTTTAAATTTCCACAACAGAATGCATGTACTCTGACTGCCCTGGCTGTTTTCAGTAAGAAGTAGTGGGAGACCTCGGTAAGGCAAATCATTCTATTATTCTATTGTTCTATCATCTGCTACTGGATCAAATAGCAAGTTCTTTTCTTAATTATTTATTTTTAAAGGCAGAAAGAAAGAGGTGGCAAGATCTGCTGGTTTACTCCCCAAGTGCCCCACAACAGCTGGGACTGGGCCAAGTCTACACCAGGAACAGGGAACTCTATCCAGGGCCCTCACAGGAGTGAAACCAGAGGATAGAAGATCGAGTCTTTCTCTCCCTCTCTGTCTCTGTAACTCCAACTTTCAAATAAATAAATAAATAGATCTTAAGACAAACAACAAACAAAAATACAGTGGTCAGAACTCCTGTGCCCATATCAAAGAGCCTGGGTCAAGTGCCCTGTCCACTCCCAGTCCCAGCTTCCTGCTAACACTCACCCTGGGAGGCAGTCAGTAACTGCTCAAGCAGGGAGCTGCTGCCTCCCACGGAGACCCAGGCTGAGTTCCCGGTTCCCAGCTTCAGCCTGGCCTAGCCTTACCCACTGTGGGCATTTAAGGAGTGAACCAGCAGATGGAAGATCTCTTTCTTCCTGTCTCTCAAAAAGAAAAAAAGAGAAAAACCCACTTAAATCCTTAAAAAGTAGTGCCATTTTCTTTAAAAAACAATACATGATAAAATGGACTTCTTTATGTGTGTGGGGGTAATCACAATACAGAATGACCCACCACCCCAGAAACCTGCATTGTGCTAGCTTTTTATAGTTAGGAGGAATTTTTAATCTAAAAAACATATTAGAACTTACTTATTTACTAAAAGAATGTTGACTAAATGCCTACTCTATGCCAGGCACTATATTTGTGCTGGTGATACACAGGCAATGTCACTTTCCTCAAGGAACTTACTTGTCTAATTGAGGCATACAGACCAACCGGAGTGGTCAAACACTGGAAGTGTGAGGGTGAAAACATGCACAGGCACAAAATACCCAAATACAGGTGATCAGATTCTATGGTTCTGGGGTCTGACACTAGCTGAGAAGGCACCAGGAAGGTGGTGATGCTTAAGTCAAGTTGTGAAAATTAGGTAGAATGGGGCCAGGGCTGTGATGTGGCAGGTAAAGCCGCCACGTGCATTGCCAGCACCCAATTCCCCGCTAAAGGCCTGGGGAATGCAGCGGAGCATGGCCCAAGTACTTGGGCCCCTGCCACCCATGTGGGAGACTTGGATGAAGCTCCTGGATCCTGGCCTCAGCCTGGCCCAGCCCCGGTTGTTGTGGCCATCTGGGGAGTAAACCAGTGGATGGAAGATCTGTCTCTCTGTCTCTCCTCTCTCTTTAACACTTTGAAATAAATACATAAGCCTTAAAAGCAAAAAAGAAAGAAAACTATGCAGAATGGATGGCACACATAGAATTGCTAGGGGCATTCTTGAAGAAGCAGAGTCAAAGGTACACTCATGTAAAAGTGCAGCCCTATCCCCCTCCCATTACACTGGGACCTGTAAGTAGCAGTAGCTAGCATGGCATAATGGACAGCACTGTCTTTGGAATCAGGTCTGCGGTCAAACGAAAGGGCTATCACTTACAAGCTGTGTGACCTTGAGTCCATACTTAACCTCATCCATAAGCTGTAAGAATTATACTGATGGGAGAACACCCATGAAAACTATTCAGAATTAAGCTAAATGTCATTTAATGTAAGAACTACGGCCCTACCATATTAGAAGTAAACCTGAGAAGAAAACAGAATTCTACCAGGTTCAAGGTCTCTAAAACAATGAAGCAAAGGAGAAAGGCCAAAGAAATGCAAACTCCAACCTCCCAGGAGGGAACGCAGGCTTCCCTGAGAAAGCAGTTAGTGACACCCAGCTATAATCCAGAGTGTTCAGACTATTGATGAAACCATCCAATGGGCACCAACCTAGAGATACAGAAAGAGGGGCAGCCTGACAGCTATGGACACTGGTAGGAATTCAACTGGAGTCCTAGCTCACATTTCAACGGACTCAAAGTACCCCCAAAATTTATCTGGAAAAAGAACAACATTTCTAGAGTTCTAGACAAGTCCTGAAGATCTGGAAAACCAAGTCTGGAACAGTTAAAAAAAATCAAACACCACTTATTCTGTATTTTTTTTCCTGCTAAAAAATCTGTTTGTATTTAGTATTTTTTATGGTAATCTATTGGTTTTATTTATCTAAGCTTATTTGCATAATAGTGAGAACTGCATACAACAGTAAGAGTGAAGTTCATAGTATGAATTGTTTGGATAACACAGAGCACTTTTTATAGGCAATTGTCTAACGCACATTTTCTCTATTTAAACTGTTAGGACACTTTTTTTTACTGCCCATCAAAATACATTTATAAATAGAAAGAATTGGTATGGTAACAAGAGAAGCAATATTACATTTAACAGAAACTTCCAAAAAATTAATTGCAACATGATGCTGCAGGATCTACAAATAAATAATGAGGGCTAAATTGTGTTTCACATTTTCTTTTCTTTTTCAGAAAAAAATATGTAACAATGTGAATGAAAAAAATTACAGTGAACTTTTATTTCCAAAATAAAGACAAATCTGAATTACGGCAGTGCCATAGGATACAAGGCATTTGTTGGCATGGCATATGTCATCTTTAAACTGCATTCCGAAGTCTACAGTTCTTTTGTAACATACAACAGAGTAACAAACTCTATTTTTTTTTAAATAAGGGAGAGTTTCCAAACATCAGTGTGGAGTGTTACAGAAGTAATTAAAGGAAAGGAATTCATAGTCATAGAAGTTATAAAGCTTGTTTGAAGCTTCACAATAATTAAAAAATAAAAATCACTGGTATCATGCTTATGGGCACACACCTGGGTGTGTTCCATGAACACCAATTTTAATACCAAGCAATCCTTTGTAGTTAGTATTTTAAGTACTTTACATATCTATTTTTAGAAACTGGACAAGTTGGCCTTTTCGTATCAATTTAAAATATTTAAACGAGTCATTGATTTGAACCTTTGGTTTCAAAATTTATTTCTTTGAGAGGCAGAGAAAAAGAGGGCGAGCATTCCCATCTGCCAGTTTACCCCCCAAACACCCCAACAGCTGGGGCTGTGCAGGCCAAAGCCAGGAGTCCCTAAATCAACTGGAGTCTCCAACATGGGTGGCAGGGAACCAACCACTTGAGCCATCAATGCTGCCTCCCCCAGGGTGCTCATTAGCAGGAAACTACAATTAGGAACAGCACTGGGACCCAAACCCAGGCATTCAGCCATGAAACGTGGGCATGCCAAGCAGTGGTTTTACTACCCATGAACTTCTGATTTTAAACTTCTGTTCTAGCTCCATTGTCTCTGTTTCTTTAAAAATACAATGAAATTTGTAGAATTCTGTAAAACAAATATTAACTGAAGCTCCTTTAGAATGTTAAAATTCACTAACTTTACAAATATTGTAGCTGTTATCAACTGAACTGTATGGCAGGGGGAAGGGAGCGGAACGTCTTACTGTAACAGGAAATACCGAGGAGAAATAGGAAATGGTTTGGGGGCTGGGTAGGAAGAGAATGGACTCAGTTTAAGACATCCAGTTTGCACTGCCCGAGGGGCAAGCAGGTTAAGAAGCTCACTGAAGAGATGGGCCAAACAGGTCTGGAACTTGCAGCTCCCGGGAAGGTCAAGGACGGAAGAAGGTGTCTGGAAGCCTCTGAGGCCACTGCTGTGACCTTGGGAAGTCTGAGCTGCAGGGATTGTGTGGAGAACGCATAACTTCATACAGCTTATTTTACAGGTGAGTTAGAGAGAAGGAACCAGTGACCAAAAAGGGGAAGGGAGGAAGTGTTGGAGAGGCAGAGGTGGAAACGAGACTGGCACAGAACACTTCTGCGGGACGGAGCATACGATAATTCCCAACTGAGATGCATGAGAGGCAGTGCTGCAAACAAGCGCAAGTGAACGTTTCCTTCTTCTGCTCCAGGTTAAAACTGTCACCGCCAGCACAAACTGCCATGCAAAGGTGAAAATGCAATACAGAGCTGGCAAAGTTTACTTTCTATAAACAAAATAAAAATTCCAAATTTCGTTAGGGAAGAAAGATGCACGAGAGCCAAAATACTTTCTTAAAAAGGTTCCTTTGGTTTCATATTTTCAGAATTAAAATAAAAGATAAACTGGTCTCTCAATTAGCTGAAGAAAAATAATCTCCAGATTCTTCAAACTGGCTGTCACCGTGGATTAACACTGACTTTTTTTAAAAGATTTATTTATTTATTTAGAAGGCAGTTACAGAGAGGCAGAGGCAGAGGCAGAGGCAGAGGCAGAGAGAGAGAGAGAGAGAGAGAGAGAGAGAGTCTTCCATCTGCTGGTTCACTCCCCAGATGACCACAACGGCCAGAGATGGGCCAATCCGAAGCCCGGAGGCTCCTCCAGGTCTGCCACACAGGAGCAGGGGCCCAAGTATGTACACTGCCCTCTCAGGGCACACAGAGAGCTGGACTGAAAGTGGAGCAGCGATCTCGAACCGACGCCCATATATGGCATGCTGGAGCTGCAGGCAGTGGGTTTACCCAGTACGCCACAGTGCCAGCCTCTCAACACTGACCTTCTAACCAGAACAACTTGCAATAACTGACAAAAGCTCTGTCAAATGGTTTCATCTGAACACAAGATAATGGAAGAGAAAGTTGGCAAAGAGAAAAAAAATTAAGCATTTATTCTTCCTTTTCAGCAGGAGCTACATTTTAAGGCAACCAAAGCACTGCTGCTGCTGAGATGGAAAACGCTGAGACAGAAAAGTATGCCAAAAAATGTAGAATAAATGAATCTGAAAAATCACTATTTTGTAACCTCTAAAGAAAATTTTGGTTCAGACACAGATTATCAAAGGAAGCTAAAAATCATCAGAGGAGGGGTTAAAAGGAAACCTGGTATCTGTTCGGTGTCGAGACATTTTACACAGATTTCTCACTAACCAAAATTTCTTTCTTAATTAAACAAAAACTTCTAGCTTTAAAACAGAGATATAATTATCACTAACAAACCCAGGATCACTAATAGTAATAAAAGCAATCACTACATGCCTCCTATTTAATCTGAATCTAATTAAACTGCTACATCTAACTTCCAGTTTGCAGAAAATATAGAGGCTAACAGACCAGTTAAATGACACAAGGAAAGAAAACTATACAACTCCATCATGTGGGACACTCCACGTGACACAGTGATCTCTGGCAAATCTGTGCCATTTGAAAAACAAAAAAAAAATAAAGACCATCTAGAGGACAAGTGGATACATTCCAACATGTACTTGGCATAACACTGGGGAATTAGGCTGCTACTTTTGGTGATGTGACAATAGCACAGCTGGCCAGAGGAGGTCCTTGTTTCTTGGACACAGATACTGAAGTAGTTGGTGTCAAGTATCTTGATGTCTTTATTTTCAGTGTAAAATTATTCAGTAAGCTTGGTGATGGGTAAACAGCGGCGATGGGGGTGGGACCACTAGTGGGAGGGTTGTTATTATAAATTTCTCTATTTTTAAAAACAATTATTTATTTATTTTTAAGACTGACAGAGATAGAGAGAGCTTCCACCTGCTGGTTCACTCCTCAATGCCTGCAATAGCAGGGGCTGGGCCAGAATGAAGTCAGGATCCTGGAATTCAACTACGTGAACTATCACTGCTGCCTCCCAGGGTGTGCATTAGCACGAAGCTGGAACTGGAAGGTCAGCGGGGACTCCAGGCACTCCAATATGGGCTGCAGGCATCCCACATGGCATCTTAAACCCTGGGCCAGACATGTGGCCCAGCTTCCCTACTTTCCCACAAGTTTGAAAAGTTTCACCACAAAGTCCGCAGAGCAGGCATTTGGCCTGGCAGTCAGGATGCCCAAAGCCTGCATCGGAGTGCCTGGGTTCAACTGCCAGCTCTGGACCCTGGCTCCAGCCTCCTGTTGCTGTAAATTCTAACAGGCAGCGGTGATGGCTCCAATAATCGTGTTCTTGCCCCCTGTGTGGGAGATCTGGATTGAGCTCCTGGCTCCCGGTCCCAGCGTTAGCCTGGCCCAGTCTGTCTGTTGCAGGCATTTGGGAAGTAAGTCAGCAGATGAGGTTTCTGTCTGTCTCTCTTTGTCTCTCAAGTAAATAAATAAAACTTTTAAATGAAGTTTTTAAAATGGTTCAACAACAACTACAAAACATAGATAGATAAAATGAATTACACAAAGATGAATTAGGCAGTTGACTTTCCAGGAAAAAGGAAATAAGCTAAGGAAATCAGAAATAAATTCAAGAGCTGATTCTTGATACATGTCAATGAAGATTAAATTCTGGATAATTTAATGAAGGAGAAGGAGTAAGTAGGTAGAAAATTAGAGGCGCAAAGGTAAAATAGGTACAGATATAAAGATAAAAGCACCATGTAACATTACTTTGCAAAACACTACACAAATAAATTTAGAAACTAGAAATGAACAACTTTCTAGGAAAATACAAATCATGTATAATTGACTTGGAAGACAAACAAAAAGCAATAACTAAAAAAGAAAAATGTTACCAAAGAGTGACTCTTCCTAAACAATTATATTAGACCAAAGCAATTTCACAAGTGTATTTCTGAACTGTTAAGAAACAATTTTAATAAAACATGAAATTTTTCAGAACAGAAGGAAGGAAAGCTACCAAATTATGAAGCTAGCATAGCCTAACAATTACACAGACATTTTAATTAACTGCAATGAAATCTCATTTAGGAATAATTTCAAATGTTAAGTAAAATACTAGTGGGTATAAACTAATAATGCTACAAAGGAATACTTTATTACAAGTAAGTGCAGTTTATTGAAGAAGTACAACAATAGTTCACCACTTCCAATATTCACCATATTAAAAGGTTTTAAAGAAGAAAAAAATTAACACATTTGTGCCCAAAAAGCATTCACAAAACTTGAACATCTACTCTGATTAAAAACAAGAGAGAGAAAGCAAAAGCTGAATACTTTACGATGAAAAAGGAATGACCATGAATACTTAAAAGGAAGAGAAAAACAGTATTTCTTGAAGATTAGATTTTCTAAGATTTCAGATATACAATCACAAGTCGACCAAATACAGTGTCTAGAAAAATAAAAACATGCCAGATTTTCCTAGCCAGTTAGGAAAAAAAAAAAAAAAACACAAAGATTCAATTTACAACAGTAATAACAAAGAGATTATCCCCATGAGACTCAGGAGCCCCCACCTTCTCTCTGCTTGTGCTCTCCTCTGTGAAGCCCCACCTGACGGCAGCTGCAGTGGAGAACTGCCTGTTACTTGTCTATGGCAAACTGGCAAGTCTGTATTATACCTGGGCTGGCTAACAATCATCTGCCGATGGCCAGGTTTTATATGGCGTGTGACAGAGGCTGGGTCAGATAGACAAATTTGCAACAGTCACATGAAGAAAACAAACTACTCAGGGCCATTAAAAAAAAAAAAACAAATTTAGAGGTAGGTGTTTGGCCTAGTGCTTTTTTTTGTTAAAGATTTATTTTATTTATTTGAAAGAGTTACAGAGAAAGGTAGAGACAGAGAGAGAGGTCTTCCATCCGTTGGTTCAGTCTCCAGATGGCCGCAACGGCCAGAGCTATGCTGATCTGAAGCCAGGAGCCTCCTCCAGGTCTCCCACACGAGTGCAGGGGTCCAAGGACCTGAGCCATCCTCTACTGCCATCCCAGGCCACAGCAGACAGCTGGATTGGAAGAGGAGCAGCCAGGACTAGAACTGGCACCCGTATGGGATGCCGGCACTTCAGGCCAGGGCTTTAACCCACTGCGCCACAGCACTGGCCCCGGCCTAGTATAACAAACTTACAGTCCCCCATTGGAGTGCATGGATACCCACCTGACTCCAGCTTCCTGCTACCCTGGGAGGCAGCAGTGAAGGTTCAAGTACCTAGGTCACTGCCATTCATGTGAGAGATTTGGATTCAATTATTGGCACCTGGCTTTGGGCCACTGCAAGCATTTGGGGAGTGAAACAGTGGGCAGGAACACTATCTCTACCTGTCTCTTTGCCTCTCAAATAAATAAGTAACAAATAATAAAAACTTTAAAAAGTAAACTGAAAGTTAAAAGCTTTTACTTTGAAAAATACCATTTTAAGTATTGTTTTTTCTCTCGAAAGTCTTTAAATTCAATACAACCACAATTAAAATTCTAGTGGATTCTTTTCTGTAACTTGACAATATAAAATACAAAACACTGAAGGGAAATAAGCCTTAATGGATATTAAAACTATTTGTAATTTTTAAAGTGGAGATTAATGGGATAGTATAAAACACCAAAATTATAATTTAATAAATGCCATTAATCCCCTTGGTTCGCTGGTTGGAAAATAAGCAAACCTAAGTTCCTACCTCATAAACAAAAAAGTAATTCCAGATGAGCTAAAGACTTAATTGTATACAATTATGCCTCAATAAAGCTGTTAGAAAAAGATTTAAACATAAAATAATAAGAATTATAAGAAACATAGGCAAAAAAAAAAAACCTCAACCAGCATATGTAAAATTCTTTATATAAGTCACAGAAGCAAGAAGCCGTAGGGAGGAGCCAGCCCTGAGGTGTAGGAGGCTAAGCCTTCACCTGTGGCACCAGTACCCTATATGGATGCCGGTTCGTGTCCCAGCTGCTCCTCTTCCAATCCAGCTCTCTACTATGGTCTGAGAAAGCAGCAAAAGATGGCCCAAGTGCTTGGGCCCTTGAACCTGTGTGAGAGACCTAGCAGAAATTCCTGGCTCCTGGCTTCGGATTTGCCCAGCTCCAGCTATTGCGACCATTTAGGGAATGAACCAGCGGATGGAAGACCTTTCTCTCTGTCTCTCTCTCTGTCTGTAACTCCACCTCTCAAATAAATGAAGAAAACCTTTAAAAAAACAAAACACAGGGAGAAAATATGTATGCATAATTATGTATTATGTAATATATAATAAGCAGGTCAATCTCCTTAATTTGCCAAGAATATGTATGCATAGGCTAATAGAAAAATGAATAGATTAATACAAAAATGATGAGCAGGGAAGTTCACAGAAAAAGAAAGAAAAATGCCCAACAAAATATATAAAATATATTCAACTTACATACATTACTGGTGAGTGCACAAACTGATGCAGTATACAAAGAGCCAAAAAGAAGTAACATATTCATGGGTTTTTTTAATCTTAGACTTTTTTTTTTTTTTTTTAGATTTTTGTAAATTTGAAAGGCAGGGAGACAGCAACAGACAGAGATCTCCCATCATCTAGTTTAGTAACTCAAATGCCTACAACAGCTGGGACTGGATCAGGTTGAAGTCAGGAGCCAGGAACTCAATCTGGGTGTCCAAGTGAGCACCAGGGATCCCAATGCTTAAGCCATCACCTGCTGCCTCCCACGGTCCTAACAGGAAGCTGGAATTGGGAGCAGAGCCAGGACTCAAACCCTGGCGTTCTGATAAGGGATGTGCGCATCCCAAGTAATGTCTTAACCACTGAGCCAAAAACCACCCCCTCATGCAAGTTTTTAAAAGGACAGGCTTGACTTTAGAATTTCTTTGTATCATTTTCATTTAATCACCTTACGCTCCATATAGAGTTCATAAGAAATTAGAGGAAAACAATGAGCGGATGAAAGGGGGCAAAAAGGTCTCTAAAGTAACTGCTGCACTAGTAGAAATATGGACGCAAGATGACTGTGACAAAAAATGCAGTCAACATATCACATTCTATCTTAACCGTCAGTATGATCAGAGCAACAACATCCGCCCTTACAGTTTTGGGTACCTATTGCTCTCCACCTTTTTTCAAAAAATATTTATTTTATTTATTTGAAAGGCAGAGTTACAGAGAGGCAGAGAGAGAGAGAGACAGAGAGTTGGTTCACTCCCCAGATGGCCACAACAGCTGAAGCTACGCAGATCTGAAGCCAGGAGCCAGGAGCTTCTTCTGGGTCTCCCACACAGGAGCAGGATCCCTAAGACTTGGGCCATCTTCTACTGCTTTCCCAGGCCATAGCAGAAAGCCGGATCAGAAATGGAGCAGCCAGGACTCAAACCGGCGTCCATATGGAATGCCAGCACTGCAGGCAGTGGCTTTACCCACTACGCCACAGCAGCAGCCCCTTGCTCTCCCTTTATCCCCTGCCCTACTCTCCACCACCAACTGATCATTTCCTAGTACAAAGATCCTACAGACTTACTAAGTTTCCTCATCTGCAAAATAAGCACAGCTATCTGTAGGGATGAAGTAAGAAAGTACCCACAGGATGTGTCACATAGTCAACAGCAAGCATTGGCTGCTGATTAGAAAAATCATCAACATCTTTCATCCCATCAGACACACAGGTTCTGAACTTTAATCTTATGTTTACATTGCTGTATAGTATGTATTATTTTCTTTGTATGTGTCTTTCACTAAAACTTACCTTAAACTCTTTAAAAGTAACCAAGATACTTAAAAATAAATGTGAAAGTGTCAACAGTCTAGTAATTGCTATTCCAAGTGCATTTCCTGCTACAGAAAAAAATTAGTGGAAAATGGACATATTGTACTGAACAAGGGAGGGCTGACCTCACTTAGCAAAGGCGATGCTTTCACAAGGCCTATGCCCACCCTCAATTACTGCTGAGGGTTTGTTTTCTAGTGAATCTCAATGACCTTGAACAAACCTCAGAGAAGAGCCCCTCTCAAATAAATTAAAGCAAAGTATCTTGGATTTTATTCCACTAAAGAGAAAAGCGTATTTCCCATAGAAAGAAATCCTGCATTTCTTCCGTAGAGACACATCTGACACAATGATAGAGAAATGCCAATCCACTTCTGCCTGAAGGCTTAGATCACTACTCTCGTTACTATGCATCTCTCATCCAACTCCACACTTCCGTAGTCCCTTCCACATGCACCCACTGAAAATGGTAAGAAAGGAAAAAGGCAAAAACAACTTTTTCCCCAGGAATCACACACTGTGAATACCTACTCAAAACTCTTAAAAGTAATCCCTACTGCAACCTTTCTACATTTTTTTTTTTTTATGACAGGCAGAGTGGACAGAGAAAGAGAGAGACACAGAGAGAAAGGTCTTCCTTCAGTTGGTTCACCCCCAATGGCCGCTGCGGCTGGCGCATCACGCTGATCCAAAGCCAGGAGCCAGGTGCTTCTCCTGGTCTCCCATGCGGGTGCAGGGCCCAAGCACTCGGGCCATCCTCCACTGCACTCCCGGGCCACCACAGAGAGCTGGCCTGGAAGAGGGGCAACCGGGACAGAATCCGGCGCCCTGACCGGGACTAGAACCCGGGGTGCCGGCGTCGCAGGCGGAGGATTAGCCTAGTGAGCCGCGGCACCGGCCTACATTTTCTTTATTTTTTCCCTCTTATGCTCCACTACCCTTCCCTCCACTTACCTTGTTTCTGGCTCTGTAACTGTCCCATTCACGCTTGTTTGTTGTGTAAATTCTGTCTCCTGTACATACCCTGAGAGCAAAATGTGCAGCTTTCCTTTCAGTTTCTAAATGTTCCCACAGCACCTAGCAGAAAACCTAACAGTAGGTACTAAAAAGTGTTTTGAAATAAGTGAATAAAATGTTATTATCTACACTGTAGCATATTGCAGAGCCCTGGATTAATCTTCAGAAAAACTGGAATCTTTACCAAAGTAAAACCATTTGATGGTTCTGCAGCTTCATATTTAAGTATCAAGTATTAGCTTCTTTATTTATAAAATGGGCCTTTTCCTTTTAGACATTTGTTTTTTAAGATTTATTTATTCGAAAGTCAGAACTACGGGGTGGGGGCGGGGATGGTCCACCTGTTGGTCCACTCCCTGGATGGCCACAACAGCTAGGTGTGAGCCAAGTAAAAGCCAGGACCCAGGAGCTTCTTCCAGGGCTCGCACATGGGTAGCATGGACCCAAGCTATTGGGCCATCTCTTGTTCCTTTTCCCAGGCCTATTAGCAGGGAGCCAGATGAGAGGTAGAACAGCCAGAACTCAAGGCCAGCACCCATAAAGGATGCTGGCACTGCAGGCAGCAGCTTTACTTGCTATGGCACGATGCAGGCCCCAGTAGTTTTTTAAAGTGAAATATAATAATTGTGCATGTTACGGGGTAGTGTTATAACTTGATATAACATACATACAATGTATAATGGCCAAATTAGGCCATTTCCATCTCCTTAAACATTTATCATTTTTTGTATTAGGAACCGTCAAACTCCTCATTCTTTATAAAATGTACAGTAAATTGTTGTAAATTATAAATTTATTCCCCTATACTACCTATATTCTGGTACTCCCTATGCAACTTCTTTCTCCATCCACCACCCTACCCTCCCTAACCTCTAGTGACCACTATCCTACTCTCCTCTTCCATGAAGTCGACTTTTTTAGCTTCCACGTATAAGTGCTAGAATATGCAAGCCGGCGCCGTGGCTCAATAGGCTAATCCTCCACCTTGCGGCGCCGGCACACCGGGTTCTAGTCCCGGTTGGGGCGCCGGATTCTGTCCCGGTTGCCCCTCTTCCAGGCCAGCTCTCTGCTATGGCCAGGGAGTGCAGTGGAGGATGGCCCAGGTGCTTGGGCCCTGCACCCCATGGGAGACCAGGAAAAGCACCTGGCTCCTGGATCCTGCCAGGATCAGCGCGGTGCGCCGGCTGCAGCGGCGGCCATTGGAGGGTGAACCAACGGCAAAAGGAAGACCTTTCTCTCTCTGTCTCTCTCTCTCACTGTCCACTCTGCCTGTACACCTATACATATCATACACAGAATATGCAGTAGTAGTTTCTAGGTCTGGCTTATTTTGCTTAATTTTAAGTCTCCTAAAAGCATGGCTATCAGGGCCAGCTCTGTGGCATTAGCTGAGAAAGCCAACGCCTGTGATGTCAGCATTCCATGTGGGTGCCAGTTCGAGTCTCGGCTGCTCCACTTCTGATCCAGCTCTCTGCAATTGACCTGGGAAGGCAGTAGAAGATGGCTCAAGTGTTTGAGACCCTGCACCCACATGGGAGACCCAGAGGAAGCTCCTGGCTCCTAGCTTTGGATAGGCCCAGCTTCAGCCATTGGGGCCATTTGGGGAGTGGACCAGTGGATGGAGGAGTTCTCTCTTTCTCTCTGCCTCTGCCTCTCTATAACTCTGCCTTTCAAATAAATAAATAAATCTGTTTTTTAAAAAATGTGGCTATTACTTGCTCTACTGCTGCATACAGTTTCACAAAATGAGATGATGGAAGTTAAAAGTACTTATTATACTGCTTTCATGGTTACTTCTTTCTTTTTTTTTCCCCGACAGGCAGTCAGACAGTGAGAGAGAGAGAGAGAGAAAGGTCTTCCTTCCATTGGTTCACCCCCAAAGTGGCCGCTACGGCCAGCACTGTGCTGATCTGAAGCCAGGAGCCAGGTGCTTCTCCTGGTTTCCCATGCAGGTGCAGGGGCCCAAGCACTTAGGCCATCCTCCACTGCCTTCCCGGGCCACAGCAGAGAGCTGGACTGGAAGAGGAGCAACCAGGACAGAATCCGGTGCCCCAAAGGGGACTAGAACCAGGGGTGCCGGCACCGCAGGCGGAGGATTAGCCAAGTGAGCCGTGGCGCTGGTCCACGGTTGTTTCTTAAAAAAACCATAGTGTTTGTCAATCAGATTTCTAAATTTAAGTAAGAACAATGGAGATATTCTAATAGGAGAAACAGATTTAATTAATATGATTGCCCCTTTTTTTCCTTAAAAACAAGGGAAGAAGTCATAAGCAATGTCAAAATACTGATATACATTATGTCATTACAAGTCTAATGTTTACACTTTGAAAAAGAAGTGGCCTACATTAACCAATCTTAATTGTAATTTATATATAAAATATCTGTGGGTAGTTAGTTATCTCTTACCAGGTTCTGGAAGATCTAATTTTGCCCGCTTTAGCTCTGCCATAGAAATCTGAAGTTGCTCTATTACAAAATCATCTTCAAAGAAAAAGTCCTTTGCCAAGGTCTCCTGAAGAAATTCTACAAGTTCTTCCATAGACAGTTTCATTAGATGTTCTAAGAGAGGATGAGAGAAATAACAATGCTGAGTCAGCAGTTTACTCCAGATGGAGAAGATAATATATTCTATTGAAGTGCAGTGTGTTTTTAAACAGGACATTTAAAAGGCCATGTACACAATTTGTACGTGGTATTATAGATGTAAGACAAAAATACTCTCTGCTATTAAAGCAGTCACAGAGAAAAGTAGATAACCTCACTGGGGAGACAAGGTAGGAGAACACTGCCGAACATTTTCTCACTGGTTTAAGAACAACCACATCTGGGCATTCATATTAAGCTTCTGGGAGTCGAGAGACACAGAAAGATCACCTACAAAATGTGAAGCAACTCCAGCCCTCATAGGCAAATCCATTTTTTTTTTTTTTTTTTTTTTTTTGACAGGCAGAGTGGACAGTGAGAGAGAGAGAGACAGGGAGAAAAGTCTTCCTTTTCCATTGATTCATTCCCCAATGGCCGCTGTGGCCAGCGCGCTGCGGCCGGCGCACCGCAACGATCCAAAGCCAGGAGCCAGGTGCTTCTCCTGGTCTCCCATGGGGTGCAGGGCCCAAGCACTTGGGCCATCCTCCACTGCCCTCCCGGGCCACAGCAGAGAGCTGGACTGGAAGAGGAGCAACCGGGACAGAATCTGGTACCCTGACTGGGACTAGAACCCGGGGTGCCGGCGCTGCAGGCGGAGGATTAGCCTAGTGAGCCACAGCGCCGGCCGCGAATCCACTTTTAAGACTGCATTTATTAGTGTTTCAAATTTCAAAAAAAAAAAAAGAATTTATTTGCAAGTTTTATTTCTACTTATAAAATTAGTTTTATTAGAAAAATATTCAAATATTGACAAAAAGCACAAAGTAAAACTAAGATCCCAATCTCCTACCAGTACACATATAATTCTGTGTATATATGAACCTCAATTCACAAAACTAAATTATACTAATTATTCACTTCCTTGCTTTTTCCCATTCAATAGTGTATCACTGATATCCCTCACCTCAACAAATGATTTTACATCATCATTAATAACTATCTAAGAATACACTGCACATGTGCATCATAATTTATTCAGCCTTCTAATAATAGGTATTTAGGTTCTGATTTTTAAAATTTTTTAAATTTATTCATTTTTATTTATTTCAAATGCAGAGATGGAGAGAGAGAGACAGAGAAAGAGAAACAGACAGACAGAGATCTTTCATCCACTGGTTCACTCTCCAAGTCCCTGCAACAGCCAGGACTGAGCCAAGGACTTTGATCTGAGGCTCTGACATGAGCGGCAGGGACTAAAGTGTTTGAGCCATCACTCACTGCTCACAGGGTGCACATTAACAAGAAGCTGGAATCAGAAGCAGAGGCAGGACTCAAACCCAGGCACTCCAATATGGGATGTGGGCATCCCAAGCGGTGTCAACTGCTCGCCAAACACCAGCCTGTTTCCAATTACTGTGTGAAGAACCTACAGTGACAACCTCTCCAAATATTTTTAAGGCAATAAGGAAGAAAACAAAAGTGAGTAAAAGAAATGAATATCTCCTACAACCTACAAGCTCCAGCTAACCACTGGTTACAGAGTCCAGAGACAGATTTGTTTTGTTTTCATTTTTTTTAAATTAGCCAATAACAAACTACACATACTTATGGTGTAGAGTATGTTTGGATACAGGTTTATGTTGCAAGCTGACATGTCCATTACCTCACATACTAATTTTTGGAATGAGAATAGTAAAATCTCCCCTCTCGACAACTGGCAGGTACAATGCACGTGACTCATGAACTGCAGCCACCACACTGCCTGACAGCGCTCCATGTTCCACAACTCCCTCTCTGCCTCCCTGAAACGCTGCCTCCCTGACCAGCTTCTCTCCCCAGCCGCCTTCCGGTTTTGGAAACTTTCTGTGGTTTTGAAGGAACTTCAGTCTTTGAGCTGTGGCCCTAGATAAGGAAAACCTATTAGCAGAGAGATTTTCCACAGTTTATATAGTCTAATGATAGGGTGGCATATAAAGTAACTGTTACACTTAAAGCTGACTTACTAAAGGTACAGACATTTTTTACTTTTCAAAATTAATCCAGCATCATATAAGAAAAACAATTTAAGAGGGAAAACAGAGTTATAAAGAAATAGAATATTATGCTTGTATTTTTTCACTGTTTGGGAAACATTACAAATCCCTTAATAAAAATTGCATCTTTGTTCTCTATTTGGAGCCATTCATAAACCAGAGAGAAAGGCAGTAAAGGGGGAGGCAGGGTGGGATGGGGAGGATTGCAAACGGTTCACAACAGAAGCCCGAGTCTGCAGGACAACCGTCTCCATCATCATTTTGTTCTGGAGCTCACGTCTGTGTGTTGGGGAGATAAACCACAACGCTGCCGAATGCTTTTCTTGAAAAGAATACGCGATACAAAAGTGCTTTTAAAGGGATTCTTCATTCCTATCTAGGGTATGGCTGGTCTGGCCCTCCTGAAGTCCATTCTTTTCAAGTAAACAAGTAAACAATCTTACACTAAAACACCTAACATGCACTTAGAACAATGCCAAGCACAGCACAGAGAAAAACCACAAACACCACCCCACACACTCGTGAGCTTATGATTTACTCGGGAGACTGAACAGACTATTCCAGAATAACGTACGAGAGCAGAGTATATGAGGCATGTGAAACTGTCGTAAGGCCTAGAAGTAATATATCAGGTTCTTAAGTGTTCAATGATTCCCTTTTCTGCTGAGCTACAAGAGGAGTCACATAAGTTTTAAGGTTGAATTGAGACTTGAAAGATGAACAAGATTCTTCATACCAACGAAAATAAAACCTCTTCCCTTGATTCTAAGGTAACACACAGCATATCAAATTCACAGAATCCTTGAAATACTACAACTGAAGACCAAAGCCATCAGCTGTAAAAACGAAAAGCCAGTACTGCCTTGCTGCATTTATGAGCTACAGGCACTGCCTGTGCCTGCCCCGGAGGCCACAGAGCAGTCGGGCAGAGACAGATCTGCAAGGTCCCCGTCCACATGCAAGGTCCCCATCCGCAACTCGGAGCTGGATGCTTTTTCTCCTGGAGGAAACAGCAACAGAAATGTTCTCCCGAGCCCTTTTCACTCTGGTGTCTCCCTGTTCTCCTGTTACAAACTTGAGATCACATCAATGAAAAAATTCAGTGGTCCCAATGGAAACCAACACCTACTAAGATTACTTTTATCAAACTATCAAATTGCATTCTACTGTCTAAGCGTAAAAATGAAACTGATATGAAGAGGAAATAATCAAAGATCTCTACAATATAGTGAGCTCCTAATATGAAAAAGAACCAACAAAAGTAAATTTTCAAATGATGATGATTTTTCCACTGATTTTCAAGAATTTTTTTTAAACCATTACTAAAAGACAGTGAATAAGAAGTAAGAGTGGGGATTGAGAAATGGAGTTTTTCTTACTTTTGTGTAACTTTAAGATTGTGTAAGACATAGCAGTAAGAACTCGTTCTCCTTCAAAGATGTAGATATCCCAAATCCTGAGGTTTAGGGTAAAGGGAGTCTATAATTAAAGGCAAAACAAAACAGAAACAAGGTTAACAGCTTTCCCTGACCTTACGATTATAATTTTATGATTGAGTTTTGTAAATAAATACTCACACGATCAAGGAAACATTGAAAAAACCATTTCATTGTATAAAAACTGGTGTAGATTTCTTGGGAATCCTGAAACAACAAAGACCTCACAATTTTGGGACTGTAGCAAACAAATATAACAATCTAATACTAAATATTAGGAGGGCTATTCTGTTAGAGCAAATCATGTAATCATCTCATTAAAAATATTTTCCATGATTTTTTTTCTATTTTTACTTTTTATCCCAAAATGTGACTTCTCAAAATCACCCCAAGACTAAATTTCACATAGGGTAGTAATACAACACATATCTTTTCTTGAGTATAAAAGGGCACTTCAAAAAACTCATGGGAAAGTGAATTAAAAGATCAGTTTTGGAGACTGTCATCCTGGAGCAGCAGTGTGCGCCGCTGTTGGTGATGCTGGTATCCCATATTGGAGTACTTCTCTGAGTCCAATCCAGCTTCCTGCCAATGTGCCTGGGAAGACAGCGGATCACTGATCGCCCAAGCACTAGGCCCCTGCCACACTTGTGGAAGACCTGGATGGAGTTCGAGGTTCCTGGCTCCAGCCTGGCCCAGCAGCAGCTGGTGCAGTCTTTTGGAGAGTGAGTCAGCAGATGGAATACCTCTCTCTCTCTCTCTCTCTGTCATTTGCATTTCAAATAAATAAAATAAATCTTTTTAAAAAAAGGGGATAAATTTTGGTGTAAAAAATTTTGAAATTCATCAACAGTTTTTTTCATAATACACATTTTCCCACTTTCCATGAACTTTCTGAAGACCTCTTGTACGTATGGATTTCAAAATTTTTTGCACCAAAATAAAACTTATCTTTTAATACAATTCTCCATGAGCTTTTTGAAGTATGCTCATATTGTACTGTAAATTATCTGTTTTACTAAACTACTGCTTAATAATGAACATATATACAATTCACTAGGAGTCTGTATGACCCTTAAAATCCTTTCATGCTATTAAAAAAGCCTCCAAAATAATTAAGAAAGTTTGTGTTCTCTAAAACTTTATTGTCTGTCTGGATCTATGAATTAGGACTATGAAAGTCCATCGATAGTATATTTTACATATCTGATGTTCTTCAAATAACTGGAAATTATATCTGCATAGTAACTGAAATTTACCATGTTAGTAAGGTAACTGGAATCAAAGACGGAATTTAATTAGTCTAGCTTTATCTTACTACTGTTGGGTATTGGGTCAACAGCGTATCTACCTACCAAGTGCTGCTTAAGCTTGGACAGAAATTTACTCAATATTTTTTCATGATGTTCTTGAAACCTCAAGAGTTTAGGAAAACCTTGGACAAAAAAGCCTAGAATACAAACATAAACACAATACTTCATAAACAATATGAAGAAAAATTTCCAATTTAAAAGTACAACATACTTCTTTCATCTGTAACTGTCAAAATGAAAAGAAACATCCATTGGTTACCAAAATATTTCTCACTCCCATCAAATTAATACTTACATATAAGCTTTGGATAATAAAACTTATAGCTTAGTATTTGCTAAGGACCTACTAAAATTTGTAAAATAATTAAAGAGGACTGAATATTTCTGAACTAAAAAGGACACTAAGATGCTAAAAAAAATGAAACTGAAGCCATTTATGAAGATTATCTATTCTTTTAAGACACGAAGGGACAGTGGTGCCCTGGTTTAAGCTACAGCTTGGGAGCCCATATCCCTTATCAGAGTGTCTGACTCCAGACCTGGCTACTTTGTGCCTGATCCTGCTTCTCCCTAATGTACCTGAGATGGTGGCACATGATGGCTTAGGTACTTGGGTTCCTGTCACTCACATGGGAGACCTGAAAGGAGTTCCTGGCATCTGGCTTCAGCCTGGCACTGCCCCAGCTCATGTGGGAATTTGGGGAGTCAACCAATGGCTTAAAGATTTCCTTCCCTCTGTCTATCCCTTTCTCTGTGTCAATCTGCCTTTCAAGTAAAAACAAAAACAGGCTGACACTGTGGGAAAGCAGTAGAGGATGGCCCAAGTACCTAAGCCCCTGCCACCCACGAGGGGAACCTGGTTGGAGTTCCAGGATCCTGGCCTCGGCCTGGCCCAGCATTGGCAGTTGCAGTCTTTTGGGGGAATGAACCAATGGTTGGAGGATAACTCTCTCTAACTCTGCTTTTCAAATAAATAAAATAAATCTTTAAGCAAATAAACAAAAACAAAAACACCTGTATCTCAAATGCCTAAATCTTTTTATAGGCTGCCCTAATCTTTTTATTACTTTGTTTTACTGTTAGTACATTATATAACAAATATTGCATTACTTTTTGCAAGTTTACTCAAACACGTTCATCAGTATCACGTATCTAAAGTTTTTATCACTTCTAAAATATTTTGTCTAAGCTATATTTAACATCAGTTAAAACTTACAGGTATTATGTGATGAATGCTATATCAAAAATCATATTTTATCCCAACTATACAATATAATCTTTGAGATTTCTAGGAGGCAACTACTTGTAAACGATAGAAGCTAATATTAAGTTTGTATATTTAACTGATTGAACTTTACAGCTATTTTTATTCACAAGCTCCCTTTCAGGTAGGTACTTATACAATTTATTAAAAAATATATGTACTCTATGAACTTTATGATTTCTTCATACTGGTGTTTTCTGACCTGAGTTGTATGCAACTTTGAAAGATGCTAATAGACAGTCCTATGTTTTTAAAAAAGAATCCAGGGGGACATGTTTATGTTATATATCTATCTTGTATATTCATGATGTACATTAAATTATTAATGTTCTAAGCTGTCTTTCAGACTCATTAAAATTTATTTTTCTTTAACTCAATCTCGTAGACCTATTTGAAAGAGGAGTTCATTGTTCCCCCCACAGAACATCTGTTTCCAAGAAAAGAAACTACGTTCCTCCAAAAACCTGAGGAACATGCCATTGGGAAACACTGCTTTACAATTTACTGGGCAGAACTATTTCTTAGCTAGTGTTCAGTTTTCCAAGGTGTGTGTAAAAATTTCCAGAGATACAGACTCTGTTTCTCTCTTGGTGATATTTTCCACTGAAACTACTTCATAAAAAAAATCTATAATCCTCTATCAGTCCCACTTTCATGGTCAATTTGATAGTACTGGGAGTTGTAAAAATTTCAGCAAAAGTCTGGCTTTGCAAAAGTCAAAGCAGGGGCCGGCTTTTTTGTGGAGCAGGAGTAAAGGGGCTGCCTACAATGCAGGCATCCCAGATGGATGCCACGCCCTGTCTGCTTCACTTCCGATGCAGCTCCCTGCTAATAGCCTGGGAAGAGCAATGGAGGATGGCGCAGGTGTTTGATCCCTGCTCTCTGGCAGACCTGGTTGAAGCTCCTGGCTCCTAGCTTCAGCCTGCCTCAGCCCTGGCTGTTGTGCAGGAGTGAATCAGCAGACAGAAGCTCTGCTCTCTCTCTCTCTTGTGTGTCTCTTCCTCTCTGCAACTCTACCTTGCAAATGAATAAATATTTTGTAAAGAATCAGTGTACTTCAGGAACAACTAGTTCAAGGATACTTAAGATATTTAATATTTCTTCACTTTTCAGTTTTGTCCCAGTCTTGATATTTCAAATCACATCTTTTTCAGTCCTAGCTTTGAGTCCAGACATTTATAAGTGATACTACTTTTATATAGGAAATAGAAAAAACTGAGTAACTTTTTATTATAAAATTTCATAGGCATACATATAAACAGGTATCTCCAAGTATATTTAAGTGTAAATGTTAGGATAGAATTAATATTGCTTTATAAATTAACTGCTGGCAATAACTGCTGAGGTAAGCTATCAAACAGGTTTAAAATTGGACTGCTTTCCACACAGTTACACACCACTTAAGCTGTAACATTCCACTGTATTTCAAGATAGATCAGCAACACCATCTCACAGGAAAGCCAAGTGAAGGCTCCTCAGGAAGAATTCTTTTCCTTCAAGCTAGCTTTTTAAATGATATTGCCTATGGGATGGCAACCCGACATAATAACACATTCTTAATTTTTAGAATTACTTATGGGATGAGAAGTGCCCAGAAATTGCTATAAAGCAAATAATATTGTTAAAATAATTAGCAATGGACATGAAGGGAGACAGATAACAGCAAACACCCACATGCTGCAACAGCCCTAAAACCCCCATAAAAATCACATACTAAGACTGTGGAGTTTAATAAACAATGGACTATGGAAGTTCATAATTTTAAAAATATTAAAACAGCACTTTAAAATCTGTTATTAGAGTAACCAGTATTAAAATCATTTAGAATTCAATATTATCATATGGATGGCACTAAGAAAATAATTTTTGCATTATATGGACAAGTATGACTTTTATTTCCAAGATAAGTTGCAATCAAAACTCTCTGAATTAAAGTTCACTGTTCATCCTCTCAAGGAAAAGGTTATTAAAAACAACACGCTAACTTTAAAACCATGAGAGCACTGACGTCTGAAATACTAAATGATCAAGTACCTACAACACATTACTGCCTTTTATTCAAAATGGAGTGTTTTACAGCTGAAAGAGCTAAAACCCACACTTGAAATATAAAACTACTATATACCTTTCCTTCAAATTCCTAAAAATAATTCCTCAATTAATAGTCTTTCACAAGGATTATACATCACAACATCCAGTCAATGGAGCATTTCACTAAAATGGTAACTGCATGACTGTCTGAAAGTTTTAGTCAAAAGACATCTTTTATTTCCCCCCCAAAATAGGACTTTTTCTAAATTCCTCCCAATCTACATTAGTTTCATCTGACTGAGAGTAAGTAAGGAAAGAATTGCTAAATGACAATAATATGCTCTGGAGGAAAAGACAAAGGAAAAATCAATGTGAATGAGAAGTTTAGAAAAGTTCAATGAAGAAACTTGAAATAGGTAACAAATCCTAATTAACTAATAAGCCCTGAAACATTCAGATTGTTTTATGTAACTCTACCAAGCATCTCAGATTTTTGTTTGAATCTGTTTCTTCCTGTCTCTTGTTTCCTTATGATAAAGCATGGGGCTTTCTTACCATGCATGGCGTGCTTGGGGCCTGAGAAGAGTTTGACAAGGGCCCAGAAGGCATCTTCCTCGTTCATATACATGAGGAGCAGAGCTGTGATCTGGCTCATCCCCTGACAGTACCCGACTTCCTAGAGCAAACAACACAGAAACTGGGGACTTTACATTCAAATTACATAGATATGCACATAGGAAATCCTAATCTAAATAAAAATCAGAATACATCTAGGCATATTATTTAATGGGAAATCTGCAGATAATCTTCGCAGTATTATGTCACATAATATGAAAGAATAAAACTGCTCAAGAATAAATGTACCGGTATAGACACAGTCCAAATCTACATATATATAATTTTTTTACTGTCCTCTGATCAATAATGTTACACTTCCTTTAAAGAACACTAACATTTATTTCATTTTATGTACAGGTCTCAGCTTGCTCTTCCTTTTTTGCTTAGCTGCTGGCCAAGTTCTCCAGGATACGTGAACACAGCCAGAGTGGATGCTGCCAGAGCAAATGTCACCAGATGGGGTTACAGACTTTAACAGAACAGTAACACTGAGCCTGTGTGTGCAATTGCAGCCATGGGACAACTGGCAAGTACGCAAAGGAAGCAATCTGGAGAGGAAAACAATGGAATAAATAGTTCAGAGAAATAATCGGAGAGAGACATGTGGTCCCGGGGTGGGAGACAGAAAATGTAGCTATCCTTCTCACCACCTGCTCCTCACTTTCGAGTCTCAGCTTCCCTGAGGTCCAACTAGGGCCCCTTTCCATGACAAGTCCCTTCCACAAACTCTTCTTTAATGTTCCCTCGTTGGAGTGAATTTTTGTTCCTATAACTTAAAGGCCTTAATTATTAACAGAAACGATACCTCTGAAGGTTCAAAGGCTATTCCCCCTGGAACCAAGTCACACGGGTATGTGTTTAACACACATATTAGGTCATTCCCCACAGTATCTTCTGCCCCACAATGTAGTCAAAGCCTCAAGAACAGCATGTCCACCACCGGACAGTTTGGTTGTAGCCTACTCCTGGTTAGCTACTCCCAGTTAGCATATGTGTGATCCTACACGGGCAGTACTTAACAGATAAAACATGATACTGAAAGGTGACCACCCAGGAATAATGAGAAGTTGACAAGAGTCAAGTAAAATTACTCTAGCCGCTGATGTCTATCCTTCTATCCTGCCTATTCCCAGTCTTCCTTGCTTAAAAAGCAAATCAAAACTAGCAACAAAACAAAATAGTATGGAGGGAGAGGGAAAGTGGCATTCACTGGGGTACTGTGGTCACAGCTAGGTTTTTCCACTTCTAGATCATCTCTGCTCTGAGACCTCAGGGCTACCTGATAAAGAGAACCAGAGAGCTAAACCAACTGTAGGGCCCGTCTAGTGCTGAGATGGAGTCACGCACCTAGAAGGGCCCTTCGAGGTACGCAGGACCCAAAGACTACCTCCACCTCCTAGGAGCACTTCTCAGAGAACCACCACCAGGCCGGCTCCAACTTACCGTATTATAAATAGAATATGCAGCAAGCACATGAAATAAAGATTGTTGCCTAGAGAAAAAAAAACATTAAACATAGTTTCACAAATTATAAAATTTGAATTTTTTTAAATTATAAAATTAAGAAACAAACAGACTGAAAACAAATAGTTTACATAAAATTACTACTGTAATAAAGCAATTATCCTGAGTTCAAACCAAAACAATACTGGAAACGGTCTAAATCTGAGAGTAGATTACATTCAGTCTGATGTAATTTATATCAAAAATCACAAAGAATTTCAAAGTTTCTTAAATTGGTTGTTCACTTGCATTGAATTTCTCTCTCTCTGTCCCTCCCTCTCTCTTAAACCATCCAACAGCAGCAGCTGGCTTAACAGAATGGGTGGCCCTTTAAAGACTCAGGTGCAGTCCCAGCTAGCTGCAAAACCCTGCAGGCCTGGGCAACGTTCCCCAGGAAACTAGATATGCTCTACATCAGCCTCCAATGTAAAGAGCTGGGATTTGGGGATCCAAGGATTGAAAAGGAGTGGATAGGAGCAGCTAAACTCACTATTACCCCTACTGACTCACCAACAAAGTTTGTGCTTCCCAACCCTACAACCTTAGGCTCTGCTGGTCTAGGGATTTTTGGTCCACAAGGAAGAATGCTTCCACCCGGAGGCATAACAATGATTCTACTGAACTGAACGCTGAAACTGCCAAGCAACTACTTTGCGCTTCTTGGACCTCTCAATCCAGGCAATGAAGGAGGTTAACTGTGCTGGCTAGGGAGATAGATCCTGACTGCCAAGGAGAAAATCGGTTGCTGCTACACAATGGACAGAGGAGGAGTATGTGTGGAGTACAGAATATTTGGGCATCTCTTAATATTACTTGGCACTGTGATTAAAGTCGATGGAAAAACACAACTCACAGAATTTTTAGGAATCAAAGTTTCAGTCACCATTGCCAGCTGAAGTAACTTGCTAAGGGCAAAGGATACAGGGAATGGGCAGTGGAAGAAGACAACTATAACCACATGGCCAGTCACAGAAATGATGACTGTAACTGTCACAAGTATTTCTTTCTTAATTTGGTAAGAATATGTTTGTATAAACATTTATTTTTTCTTTCTTAGCTTCTCCCATAGTAAAACAAAATATACTATTAATAGTTACAGTATTTAAGATTATCAAAACAGAAGTATAAATATAACCCAAGGACCTGGCATCTTCTTGTGGGGCAAGGATTAACCTATTTCGTTATAAGCATAATAGCTGTTTTACTTGTGGCAGAAGTATGATTCTGTTATAGTCTTATTTGGAAATTAAGAATGATTTAAGAGATCTGTATAAGTACCAAGTTGACAAGAATGGACTGTGACGGCTGGCTTTGTGTGTCAGCTTGTCTAAGCTATGATTCCTCATTCATTATTCAAACATTGATTTAGGTGTTGCTGTAAAGGTATTCTGTAGATGTGATTAAAATCCACAAACCACTGACTTTAAGTAGAGGGGAAAATTCTAGATAATCTAGGTATGCCTGATTCAATTAAAAGACCACAAAGGCACTCTGAGGCTTCCTCGAAGAATGTCTGTCTTTAGGAGCAGACAGCCTAGCAGTTAAGACATCACATTCCATGTTGGAGCACCTGGGTTCAGTTCCCAACTCTAGCTCCTTCCTCCAGCTTCCTGTCAATACTGACCCTGGAATGCAGTGGTGATGGCTCAAATAGTTGGATTCTTGCCACCCACACAGGAGACCCAGACAATGTTTCCAACTCTTAGCTTCAGCCCCAGACACTGCAGACACTTGGGGGATGAACCTGCAAATGGGAATTCTGTCTGCCTTTCTCTCTCTGCCTCAAATAAAAAGATCTTAAAAAATTAAAAAAAAAAAAATCTGCCTATGGACAGAAGTTTCAGCTTGTGCTCAAGAGTCCGGCCTTCCTTTCGAAGGACTGCTCTACGGATTCTGCATTTTCCTAGTGAGCCCACACAAGCAGACGAGCCAACATGTGCAACACATCTCTATGTATTTCCCATCGGTTTCTGTTTCACCACATCGGACCCTGATTGACACATAAGTTAGCAACCTATACCTTTCATTCATAAATTGTCACAGCAATGATGTTTCAATGTGTAGTACTAGTATTGTTCTGTTATACGCAGTTTTTTCATTTCTCACTTTATTTCACTCATTTCTCTCTATTTTGGTTTCATTTATTCATAAATGATGAGGGAGTCAAGGTTACAGATACACTGATCATTGACAGAGTTTTCACATAAAGAATCTTTCATTTTTCTATGATTTTCAATGAAAATACCTATGTTTCCAGATTATAAAATGATTATTTACCACTTGTACAGCACTTACTATATCAAATGTTAGAAAACTGAGGTCAAATTAGATTCTAAGATTCACAAGTGGATTGAAAGGATCTGTAAAGGCTTAAATCTTTAGGCTCTCATTCAAAACTGCATCCTAACCACATTTTAAGCTAATAAAGATTTTGATAAAGACTATTTATAAATGCCATTTCCATTTCATAATATTAAAGTTTACTTACTTAACACCATATCTGTCTCTAAACATAATATGGTCCCTAAATGTGCGGTTGACATCAAGGTCTATTTGTCTGATATCAGGTGAACAACCCCGTGCTCTGTGTTTTAATTTCTGAAGAAGAAAAAGAGAAGAATGTACATTTTTACAGAAATCACTTGTTGAAAATTCTATGACAAATAGTAAAATAACTCAATAAAAATTGGTTTTGGGTATAGGAAATTATTCTCATGGTTAAAGAATCGAAACAATATAAAAAGGTAGACAAAAGTTCCCCTTCTTCTCTTCAGGGCTCCATCTATCCTATTCCCATCCTCTCACTCTTCCCTCACTTCCCCTAACCTCCCCTCCATCCTGCTAACACAGTAAGATTTTAATTTAGGATGGAGAACTTTCCAGAGTTTGCACTATGATGTGAAAGCTCATCATGGCCAAGCCTTGCAATCTACTGATTTTTCATCCATTGCAGCGTGACTTTTTGGTTTTCTTTGCAGCTAACTACTGCCTTGATTGTTGATTTGCTTTGTTTCCTACATTCTACATTCAATCCCAAACTCGCGATCAATGGTCTCCTCTGATGTCCCCACAGAAAGGTACTCCACCAGCTTACTCTTCTTGGAAGACCTCTCTCCCAGAGCTGAGTGGCTGCTCCCACCTGCGTGGCCGCTCTCCAGGCCTTCTGCACAGCGTGGGACTCAGCATCTCCTTTCACTGCCTGCGGGTCCTCCCTTGGCTTTTCTGTTGTGTGAGGTCCCCTATTTCCTGGATCTCACATCTCTTCTTTCTTGGTTTATTCCCTTGTTCAGGGGGAACACATTCTCTACTAGCTCTTGTGAAGGGATGTATAGAAGTTGGAGTTTTTGAAATTTTGAATGCCTGATAACTCTGCATTCAACTTTTTGGCTGTTTTGTAATTCTAAGTTGGAAAATATTTTTGCTCAAAAGGCACTGCTTCACTACCTCCTGGCCTCCGGTGCTGCCATTCTAATACTTGTTTCTTTACATGCAATCTGTTTTTCTCCCGAGAAGTGTACAGACTTTTCCTGTAATGCTCAAGAGCTTCACACATCTGGACTTGCTTCTGACGTACTTTTATCCACAAGATTGGGCATTGGATGGATCCCTTCAATCTTAAAAACTCAATACTCACATCTTTCAGGTCTGAGAAACTTTCTTCAATAATTCTTTGTTAATTTCTTTACTCTCTTCTCCTATTTTCTCTTTCTGGAATTCTGATTACTACAAATGTGAAATCTTCTAAGTTGTCATCTACTTCTCTTACATTTTTTTTCTATTATTTTCTAGTTTTTGCCTTTATAATTTACCCTCTGGGAAATTCTCTCAATCATTATTTTCCAATTAAATATTTCATTTCTCTTTAGTTTTCCATTGCTATCATTTTTTAAAATACCTATAAACTCTTTGTTGTTCTCCAGTGTTCCTTTTAATAGCATCCTGTGCTTGTTTTATGGCTGTAATATCGATTTTATTTCTCTGAACATATTAACAATAGTTTAAAACTATCTCTTCTTGCTCTATATCTGTCTCCTACAAGTTGCTTTTTGCCATTTCCCTTCATTTGTCTTTTATGTTAGTCCCCTTTTCCTGAAATAAATAGTTTTTACTGAAAAGTGAGCTGGTACAAAGCGGGGTGCCCAGGTGGCCCTTCCATACTGTGGTCTTCACTGTGGAATGACGTGGTCAGCCAGATACAGTGGGTCCTATGTAGTCAGTATCTTGGATTTATTTCCTTACACTGATCATGTGCCTAGAGAAGGCTCTTCCAGTCTCCTGTCAGGAGGAAAACTCCTGGCTGACCATGTTCTTGGAGTTCAGCTGAGGGAAGAGGCTAGACCATCCAGAACCCAGGATCTCCACTCTCTTGCTTTCCTCTCAGCTGCCCCACCCTCAGCAACGTCTGTGTCTTCCCCAGTCCAGAGTCTTCTGCTTCATCCTCACCAAATAACAAACCTCCAGTCTCAGGCCAGGACTGGGAGGGATGTTAGGGGTGCTGGGAGTTATGGGAGGCTGGCACTGCAGGCAGCAGCTTTATCCACTAGGCAAAAGCACCAGCCCCTAGATACTACATCTTTAAACGACAGTAACACGAAGCTCCAGGTGAAAACTTATCACATCCAATCAAAGGGAAGGGATCAGAAGAGGTCTCATAATGTGCCTTGAAAATGCATCCCCTCTTTCTCCTTCCTTTGGAAACAAAGCCCCTCTTTAGGCACCACCCATTCCATGAGTTGGCATGAACCATGAAGGTGATTTCATCCCCTCTTCCCAACACAGCCAAGTTTTAATTTTACTGTTGTATTTATCCATAATAACTAATGCTACACTTTGACACAATCATGCCTTCCCCCAACAGAGAAGAAAAGTTTCTTGACATTGCATCTATTCTTCTTGGTATGCTCCTCAGCACCTTGTACAGAGCTTTGCTCCAAGAAAGCATAAACAGGTCATTGGGGGAACTTCAAGGGCTGAATGCTCATATATTCCAGGCTCCTATAGATTTTTAAAAGGTAGTTTTACTCCAACTTGAAGTCCCAGGTAGTAGAGCATGTGTACAGAACAAAGTGTACCACTTTTGTAGAAAGACAATAAGAGTGGCCAGAAAAGAAAGACTTGGTAAAGCAATAAATAATGTTGGGAGAAAATCAAACAGTAAAAATAACATCTAGGGGGGGCCAGCGTGCTGTGGCACACCTGGTTAAGCTACCATCTGCAGCGATGGCATCCCATATGGGCGCCAGGTGGCGTTTCGGCTAATGCACCTGGGGAAGCAGTGGAGGATGGCCTAAGTGCTTGGCCTCCAGTACCTACATGGGAGACCCGGAAGAAGCTCCAGGTACCTGGCTTTGGCCTGGCCTAGCCCCTGCTGTTGCAGCCATTTGGGAAGTGAACCAGCAGATGGAAAATCAATTAATCCCTCTCTCCCCTTCTCCCCTGACTCTGTTTCTCCCCCTCTCTCTGTAATTCCAACTTATAAATAAACAAAAGTGACATTTGTGATAGTGTTGAAAATTATGGACTTGAAAGCATTTTTGTTTTCGTTATACATTTTCACTAAATCCTTCTCTCATATTAACTGGTCATTGGATAATTCTATTGCATGTAGAAAAACCTTTATGTATAAAGGAAAATTACCACTGTATTGAGGTGTACTGGATTTGAATAGTCTTTTCCCAAAATTCATGTCAGTCTAGAACCTTTGAATATGACCTATGTGGAATCAGTTTCTGCAGATGTAATCAATTTAAGATGAGGTCAAACTGGATTAAGGCGGTCTTGTCAGGACAGGTAGAGATACAGAGAGAAAAATGTCACGTGGCAAAAGAGGCGAAGTCAGACGCAACGGTGCGGCTGCAAGCTAAGGACAGCTAAAGACCATTAGCTAAAATGAGACAAGAGCTGTTCTTCCCTTGAGACTGGGGAGAGAGCTGGCCCTGCACACTCCTTAACTTAAAGCCTCATGTCCTGTAAAACTGTGTGCTCTGGAGGACACAGTTCCCGCTGCTCAAGCCACTGGGCTGGTGGGGTGTGGCTACAGCTGAGTCACATCTGAGGGTCCACAGAGGACTTTCTACTTTTGTTAGTTTCTATTTTTCATCAATGAAACACATATTTACTGAGCACATACCACACACCTGGTACTGGGGTACTGTACTAAATGCTGGGGTTCTATGGTTTACATATTTCGTTTTGAACACTGGCTCTAGAACTGTGACACTAAAAATAAATATCTAATCAACAGTCTAAAGTAACTAATAGTCTAAAATCCTGGGACATAAACAGATGGCATGTGTAAAGTCAAGCAACTAAATAAAAAAGTGTTTTTATTTTTAAAGATTTATTTATTTACTTGAAAGAGTTACAGAGGTAGAGGTAGAGGTAGAGGTAGAGGCAGAGGCAGAGGCAGAGGCAGAGGCAGAGGCAGAGAGAGAGAGAGAGAGAGAGAGAGAGGTCTTCCATCCGCTGGTTCACTCCTCAATTGACTGCAATAGCAGGAACTGTGCCGATATGAAGGCAAGGCCAGGAGCTTCTTCCATGTCTCCCACGTGGGTGCAGGGGCCCAAGGACTTGGGCCATCTTCTACTGCTTTCCCAGGCCATAGCAGAGAGCTAGATTGGAATAGGAGCAGCCGGAACTTGAACCAGTATCCATATGGGATGCCAGCACTGCAAGTGGCTGCTTTACCCGCTATGCCACAGTGTCGGCCTCCAAAAAATGTTTTGTTCACACAAAATGAGAGATTCTTTAAATTAACCAGCACTTATTACCCTTCATCTTGATGAAATTATACCTATATATATATAATACATATATATGAATATTCAAAAAAGAAAAAAATATCCAGAGAGCAGCAAAGCCAAGTAAAGTAAGAGAGCCACAGAATGACAAATACTACAAGTTCTTGCTCTTATGAGGAAGCTAAAAAAGGGGATGTCATTGAACAGTGTAGAAGAGTGGTCAGCAGAGGCTATAGAGGGTAGAAAGGAGGCTGAATAAAGGGATTGGAAAAACAAGAACCGAAACACAGCCGCAGTCAGCAGGAAGAAGCTCAGGAGTGCTTCAGCACAACACAGTGACTATGGTTACCATGATCTATCATGTATCTTCTAAAGAACTTAAAAAGGTCCCCAACACACTGAAGTGATCAACTTTTTTTTTTTTTTTGACAGGTAGAGTTAGACAGAGAGAGAGAGACAGACAGAGAGAAAGGTCTTCCTTCCATTTGTTCACCCCACAAATGGCCATTACAGCTGACGTACTGCGCCGATCTGAAGCCAGGAGCCAGGTGCTTCCTCCTGGTCTCCCATGCAGGTGCAGGGCCCAAGCACTTGGGCCATCCTCCACTGCCCTCCCAGGACACAGCAGAGAGCTAGCCTGGAAGAGGAGCAACCGGGACAGAATCCAGTGCCCCAACCAGGACCAGAATCCGGTGTGCCGGCGCCGCAGGCGGAGGATTAGCCTGGTGAGCCGTGGCGCCGGCCTAAAGTGATAAACTTTTAAGGAGATGAAAATGCTAATTACCCTGATTTGATTTTTCTAATTCTATACATGCATTGAATTACCACAATGTATTCCATAAATATGAATCACGTGTCAATTAATTTTTTTTTAATTTTCTAAAAAAAATTTATTTGAAAGTCAGAGTTACACAGAAAAGGAGAGGCAGAGAGAGAGAGAGAGAGAGAGAGAGAGAGGTCTTCCACCTGCTGGTTCACTCCCCAATTGGCCGCAACAGCCTGAGTTGTGCTGATCTGAAGCCAGGAGCCAGGAGCTTCCTCCATGTCTCCCTTGCAGGTATAGGGGCCCTAGCACTTGGGCCATTTTTTATGCTTTCCCAGGCCATAGAGGAGGGCTGGATCAGAAGTGGAGCAGCCAGGACTTGAACCGGTACCATAAGGGATGCCAGCACTGTAGGCTGTAGCTTTACCTGCTACACCATAGTATCAGCCCCATTTTTTTTTTTTTTTTTAATTTTAAAAAGGGAACACTAACATGCCTTTAATAACTGGCATTTTCAGTTCAAGTGAGTTCTCAACTCCCAACTTCAGCCTAGATTTAAACTATAAAATTTTGTTTATTTTGTTTTAATTTCTTCTAAGGAACATATTTCATTATCTATGGGTCAAAGATTCTTAGATAATAAACTTCTTATGCCTTTCAAAGGTTAACATAAAATTTAGGTTTAGAAAGGGGCCTGTTGGGGCCAGAGCTGTGGTGTGGTGGGTTAAGCTGCAGCCCACAGTGCCAGTATGCTGTAGGGTGCCAGTACAAGTGCCTGCTCCACTTCAATCCAGCTCCCTGCTAAAGCACCTGGAAAAGCAGTAGAAGATGGCCGAAGTCCTTGGGCCTTGCACCCGTGTAGGAGACCCAAGAATAAGCTCCTGGCTCCTGGTTTTAGCCTCCCAGTCCCAGCTATTGCAGCCATGTGGTCAGCGAGCCAGCGGAAGAAGATTCTCTTTCTCTGCAACTCTGCCTTTCAAATAAATACATAAATCTTAAAGAAGAGAGAAAGGGGCAGGTGATTGGCCTGGTGGGTGAGACACCACAATCCCATATCAGAGTGCCTGGGTTTGATACCTGGCTCTGACTCCTGACTCCAGCTGCTTGCTAATGCAGACCCTGGGAAGCAGCAGTGGTAATGGCCCAAGTGACTGGGCTCCTGCTACTCCCATGGGAGACCTGGACTGCATTCCCAGTTCTCAGCTTCTGCCTGGCCCATTCCCAACTGTAGGGGGCATTTGACTCGTGAGTCAGCGATGGAAGCTCTGTCTCTCTATCTCTGTCTCTCCCTCTCTGCCTTGGAGAAGTCATATTTAAAAATAAAAGAAAGCATACAGCTGAGATGACAAGGAGGCAAATTTAATGTATTACCTAATTCAAGGAAAGCATTACTAATTACTCAGACAAAAGTTTAACTTTTTATTAATAGAAAAACCATAATAATCTTATAGGCAAATTCTTACTTTTTCACCCTTTAAGAAAAGAATCACATATAGGCAGGTGTTAGATAAATTTCTGGTGTTATTTTCCATAAACTCTAAATGTGTCACTGCAGATCTCTGTATTAACATTACGTTGCAAGCAACTAGTTTAGTCAGTTTTCCCCACAAAAATGATCCAATACTGATTGATCATGTATATATTTAAAAAGCATTTGATATTTACCAATAAGTGACATCAACAATAGAATTCTTATTAAAGCTTTTGTTTGAAAATTAGACTGCCATCCACAAAACCAATAGGCCTCCATTACCCAATGTAATATAGTTTTAGAATAATTTTTAAGTTATGATATGAATATCTTACACTACCTTGAAAGCTAAAAGAAGTGGATTTTGCTTTTTAATTTCAAAATAACAAGCTAGCTTTATTTACTCACACTGTAAAGGTCTCTTGTTTCTTCTTTCATTTTAGGGATCTCAAGAAGGAGAGCCCAGACTTCACCTCTGAGCTGGAGTGGGATTCCTTTGTAAATTCTCCTGTGAAACTTATTAAAAGAAAAGAAAACTGGAAGTTACAAAATGACCAGAGCTTGTACTAATCTTTTCAAATGACAGAATATACATTATTTATTTTTGAAGTTTCCGTGATAATTAACAGATACCTTTCGATTAATTGATACACTGAAGTACTGTCTGTTGATCAGATCCCAATAAAGAGACAGAGACACAGAAGGGGAGACCAACAAGAAGACATCAAGAACGTCCAGCATGTCGGAATGCTCACACCATCACAGAAGTGCCCCTCTAGGGGTACCACAGACAGTACTTTTCCCTAAGTTATACAATTTGATTTCCACATTTTCTGTTGGTATAATTTGCTTGATACCTACTTTCTTCTCTTATCCCCAAACATCAGACAGGTGCTCCAAATAGTAAACAGGATGCTTTGGCCAGAAGTGTCTTCACAGGGGATAGAGTAAGCTATGGAACCCCCAGTCATCTTCCTACTGATCAGACTCATTCCCACCACCCTCACACGTCAGCTAATTCCACTGGCAAGCTTCGTGTCTCTCTCTCTCTCTCTCTCTCTCTCTCTCTCTCTCTCACACACACACACACACACACACACACACTCCCATTCTCCCCTCTCATTCTTTTCCTCTTTTCAAATCTTGGAATTTCTTCAGGAAAATCTTTATCATTGTCTTAAATGACATCAATCCTATCTGATCAGACAAAAATACTGATCAATCTCCATTAAAGAAAGACGTCACTTTTAAATAAAATTAGGCATAAATCATTAACACTATCAACTCGTTGGGTCCTTGAGAGGTCATTGCTATTGCCCTAAGAACCTTAAGCTTCAGTATACTCTCCATCTCTTTGTATTTCTATTTTTTCCTCAACTCTATTCAAAATAACATAAAAATTATTACAGTCATTATGATGTACTTAGTAACACTTTCAAAATTAAAACTAGGTGTCCAGACCAGGACATGACTAAACAAACACAAGCCCTTAAGAGCAAGGTTAGGAACAGGTACATAACTATCTTTGTGAGCAAGACAATATATCTGAACACTATGGCTAAGAAAAGGAGGAGTAAGTTCTAGTAAGCGATATACTGAAGAGCTATGACAATCAACAGGTAGAGCTTCACTGAATACTACTGCACTACTTAAGATTTTTTTAAACTAAAGCTTTAGTAAACAAGTCACAATGCAGTTTCAGGAACCTGTGTGGACGAAAGTAAGTGACAATTTACAGTAACTTCTACTTGAATACCATGAAGTTGAGTCAGTTAGATCATTATATAATATAATATTTCCATTTTATTCTTTTAGTATGAATACAGTATGCCTCAAATTTGAAATTTCAATAGACAAGAATCATAAAAGTTTTAACTCGTAAAAAACTCTAACCAGAAGAACATATACAGAAAGGCCGTGGATTGACTGTAAACTAGACTTGCAAAATTTCCTGTGTATTCAAAATTCATGTCCATTGATAAATAAATATTTAAAGAAAGTCTGCTATAGTTGACACTTCTTATTGGTTCAGCATGGTGGCTCTCATCCAGACACTAGGGAGGGGAGGAAGTGATTCTGTATGAGGGAGTTAGGAAACGTTTCCTTTAGAGAAAATGAAAATAACTCAGTCCTGAAGGATTTATAGGAATGTGTCAGGGAAAGAGAGTGAAGGTGGGGTTATATGTGAGAATAATGATGGTTCAAGTCATAATAATGGCATTAGTAATAATAATTACACTAATGTTTTCTGATTATTTATTATGATCCAACATTATGCTATGTGTTATAGTTATGGACAGTGCTTTGTGTCTCTAAATCAACTTACGATTTTTACTACTACTATATCCCTGAAGAGGTAGGTACTATTACTACCATAGTCATTTTACATGTGAGGAAATTAACAAAAGTTAAGTAAATATTTCAAAAGAAACTGTGGAATAAGAATTCAAATTCAAGTAGTCTGACTTCAGAATATTCATAATTAACAACCATGATGCAGAATTTTTATTGCTGGACTTAAACAACATTTTAGTACCCAATTTGAAAAGTAACACAAATTTATTTCACAGATTTGATATATATATATATATATAATCTTGAGGGGCAGCCCTGTGGTGTGCCAGGTTAAACTGCTGCCTGACCAGTTGCCTGCTAAGGTGCCTTGGAAAGTGGTGGACGATGGCCCAACTTTGCACCCACGTGGGAGACCTAGTGGAAACTCCTGGCTCCTGGCTTCAGTCTGGCCTATCCCTGGCCATTGCAGCCATTTGGAGAGTGAACCAGCAGACAGAAGATTAATCAATCTCTCTCTCCTTCTCTGTAACTCTTTTAAACAAATAATCTTGAAAAAAAACATTTGCCTAAAATTTACCTTTTGTTTTCAGTATCTCTGTTCATTTGCCAATAAAATCAAGCTATATATTTCAGTCCTACAGCTACATTTAAAAATCTATCAACTGGGGGACCAGCGCTGTGGCTCAATAGGCTAATCCTCCGCCTTGCGGCGCCGGCACACCGGGTTCTAGTCCCAGTCGGGATGCCGGATCCTGTCCCGGTTGCCCCTCTTCCAGGCCAGCTCTCTGCTGTGGCCAGGGAGTGCAGTGGAGGATGGCCCAAGTGCTTGGGCCCTGCACCCCATGGGAGACCAGGAGAAGCACCTGGCTCCTGCCATCGGATCAGCGTGGTGCGCTGCGGCGGCCATTAGAGGGTGAACCAACGGCAAAGGAAGACCTTTCTCTCTGTCTCTCTCTCTCTCCCTGTCCACTCTGCCTGCAAAAAAAATCTATCAACTGGCGCCAGTGTTGTAGTGTAATGGGTTGGGCCCCAGACTGTGATATCAACATCCCACATGGGTGCCTGTTCAAGTCTCGGCTATTCCACTTCCTATCCAGCTCCCTGCTAATGTGCCTGGGAAGGGAGGAGAAGGTGGGCCCTGCCAGCCATATGGGAGATCTGGATAGAGCACCTGGCTCCTGGCTTCAGCCTGGCTCGGCCTTGGCCACTGTGGCAACCTGGGGAGTGAACCAGTGGATGGAAGATAGCTGTCTCTTCCTTTCTCTGCAACTCTGCCTTTCAAATACATAAATAAAAATCTTTAAAAAAGAATAAAAATCTATGACCTAAAAAAATTTCCATCAAGTGGCTAATATTTCCAATACTTTGTTCTAATTTCAGTGATCTTAAAACAGTAATAAATGCCAAACCATGAAATTTGGCTACTAGTAAGTAAACGTTTTAGCACAGCAAGGCTGATGTAATTCTGTGGGACCACAAGGCTCCAAGTGTACCCCAGGAAACAAAAGTTCACACTCCGAGCCCTTATTAACTCTCCATTTTCATTAATTACCCTGCTCCAATGGCTCCTTTGTCTCTGCCTCAAAACAGAACCAGTCTTCCAAATCTGGATCTAAAAAACCCTTTAACCATTCACAAGGTCCTACTGCCTTTCATAACTAAATTCTATTTCCTTCCCAACTGCCACTGACAAATACCAAAAGGGAAAGTAAGCAAAAAAGATGGTGCAATTAAATGAACTCTAGAGTCTGGACACAGAATCTCTAGCTTGCTGCCAACAAGCTGTGTGATCTTGAGAAATTTACTTTTACATGGTTAGTAAAATAAAATGCAGAGTAATATGGTCTCACAGGCCCATTCAGTTATTTGACCAAAACATGGTGGTGGGGAACTCTGCCGTGACACAGCTTAGAGAAAATGATATTGTGACCAGTAAAATCACAATGATCTTCATTAACAAAGATAACTTCAATTTAACAGACCACACACAAACACACACACACACACACACACACACACAAATATATTTAATTTATTTGAAAGGCAGAACCACAGAGAAAGAGAGGGAGACACAGAGAATTTCCATCTGCTGGTTACTCCCAAAATGGCCGTAACGGCCAGGGCTGGACTCGGTCAAAGCCAGGAGCTTCATGCAGGTCTCCCGTATGGGTGGCAGAGGCACAAGCACTTGAGCCACCTTCTGCTGCTTTCCCAGTTGCATTACCAGGGAGCTAGATCAGTAGTGGAACAGCCAGGACTCCAACCAGCGCCCATATGGGATGCTAGCATTGCAAGCAGAGGATTAACCTGCTAAGCCATAATGCAGCCCCCGTTAATAGACTATATTTTAAAAACACAGTACTATTGGTACTTAGGGATGTATCTAGGTACCAACACACAGACAACAGAATCTTAATGGAAACTTTTTTTCTTTAACATAAATATCTGGGTTCTAAAAATCCAAATATTCTTGGAGCCAGGGCTGTGGGTAGAAGGCTAAGCCTCCATTTGTGTCACCAGCATCCCATATGGGTGCCACTTGGTGTCCTGGCTGCTCCTCTTCCGATCCAGATATCTGCCTATGGCCCAAATGTTTCCTAACTATTTAAAAGAAGTAGAAGATGGCTCAAGTGGTTGGACCCCTGCACCCTTGTGGAAGAACTAGAAGAAGCTCCTGGATCCTGGCTTCAGATCAGCTCAGCTCCAGCAGTTGTGGCCATTTGGGGATGAACCAGCAGATGAAAGACCTCTCTCTCTGTCTCTCCCTCTCTCTTCTATAGCTCTGCCTCTCAAATAAAAAACAGAATATTTTTAAAAATCCAAATATTTCTACCAAAGGTATATTTTTATCTCAAGATATTTCAATAATTTACTTATATCACTATTATGTAAGTAAGGAATCCATGGAGAGAAAACATACCTTCCCTTAGAAAAGACAAAAATCCATGCTACTTTTTACTTATTTAAAACAAGATATGAATTGAAAACAGTAACTCTTTTAGAAGATGCATTGTTTCACACCAAATTGGACCATGTGTATCATCAAATGATTTCAACATTATAGCTATGCAGAGTGCTTTAAAATTTTACATCAAAGAAATCACTGTTAAAATCTCTCCTAATGGAAACTGCATTAGCTAAAGTTACTGTCAGAATAATGACCCAGAAGAATTATTCATTTTAACAGAGTCTTACTATTTTCATAGATTATACATATCATACATACTTACATATGGAGAAAGAAGCACATAAAGCCATAAAATTCTACAAATATTTTATTAGACTGAATGTGAGAACAAAGTGAAGATGCAATTTATTGAACTTTATTCTGTAATTGCCACTTGAGTAATCTTTCCACAAAGACCTACGGTAAAGTAGTTGTCAATTGTTAAGCCAATACAAGAGGCTCCATAATATTAAACAAAAGCAAGGTGGTATAACTAACATTCTATTTTGAAGTGATTCCTCTTAAAAACACCATGAGTTCTAAACCTAACGTACTAAAACAGATAGTTAAAAATCAACAACCCAAAATGAACTCACTCTTGATGAAAATAAAATATTAAGGATGTTCAAAATGAAAAATGACATTAGCCCTTCAAGGTACCCCAAGACAAAAATTTTTCCATAGTTAATTTTCACATAGAGTCTGCTCTTAAAAATTAATCCCTTATATTAATATTAAGGACTAGTGGGGCTGGCGCTGTGGTACAGCAGGTAAAGCTGCCACCTGCAGTGCCAGCATCTCATATGGGCATAGGTTCAAGTCCTGGCTGCTCCACTTCTGTAGGATGCAGCTCTCTGCTGTAGCCTGAGAAAGCAGCGGAATATGGCCCAAGTGCTTGGGCCTCTGCACCCACATGGGAGACCCAGAAGAAGCTCCTGACTCCTGGCTTCGGATCAGCACAACTCTGGCCATTGTAGCTATTTGAGGAATGAACCAGCAGATGGAAGACCTCTCTCTCTCTCTCTCTCTCTCTCTCTCTCTCTCTTTCTGCCTCTGCCTCTCTCACTCTATCTTTCAAATAAATAAATAATTTTTAAAAAGACTACTAAAGAACGCTAGATCCCTATACTAAAGAAACTGCATAATTTTGCTTAGCTCTGATTTCCTTACTTTATTTAACCAGAGAGGCCTTTTCTCATTTAATAATACATACACTTATTGACTGCACAATTAAGTGTCAGGCACTTTCTAAGTATTTCACTAAATTAATCACTCAGTCCTCACAACACCACTGTGAGGCAGGTACCATTTCTATTCCCATTTTACAGATGAACAACCCACAGCAGAGGCCAGTTAAATATCTTCCTCCAAGTTCACACAGCTAGTAAATGGCAGAGCTGCAGCTAGAACCCAGGAGAGTCTGGATCCAGTATCTCTTAACCATGGGGCTACACTGCTTCTATGTACAACCTAATGAAATTCAAGGAACTGATGTACTCTGGAATTCTTATTGGCAAATACTGATATATGATTTATGTCTACACAAAATGGGGGGAAAGAATTACATGGGAAAAAATATGAGGAAATATACAAAAATCCCAACAGTTGACTCAATTGGGTTTTTAAACACTATAGAAGATGTCTTTCTAACCTTTAAAATTTTTTTTTTGTACAGCTTGCCCTCTAAAAACTAATAGTGGCAGTTAACATCCACTGAATGTTCAGGATATGCAGGGTACAACAAAAGTGCTCTATGTTCATTAAACCATTAAAGCTTCAACCTTTTGAAATAAGTACTATTGTCTCAATTCAGATAAAGGAGCTGATGCTGAGATGTCAATGGTTCTCAAAGTACAATCCATAAGGTCACAATTCTTTTTGTAATAAGGACAACAGACTATTTTGCATCTCCACTGTGCTGACTTTTGCACACGCCAACAGAAAAGCAATGGTGTTAAAACTACTACATGTTGGCACAAATCAAGGCTGTAGTTGCACCATACTTAGGAATCATCAGATTCCTTCCCCACACTTACAGAAAAAAAATTCATTTAAGAATGATCTAGGGATGGCCGGCGCCGCAGCTCAATAGGCTAATCCTCTGCCTGCGGCGCTGGCACACTGGGTTCTAGTCCCGGTTGAGACACCAGATTCTGTCCCGGTTGCCCCTCTTCCAGGCCAGCTCTCTGCTGTGGCCAGGGAGTGCAGTGGAGGATGGCCCAAGTGCTTGGGCCCTGCACCCCATGGGAGACCAGGAGAAGTACCTGGCTCCTGGCTTCGGATCAGCGCGATGCACCGGCCACAGTGCGTCCGCTGCGGCGGCCATTGGAGGGTGAACCAACGGCAAAAGAAAGACCTTTCTCTCTCTCTCTCTCACTCACTGTCCACTCTGCCTGTCAAAAAAAAAAAAAAAAAAAAAAAAAAAAAAAAAAAAGAATGACCAGCGCTGTGGTTCATCAAGTAAAGCCACCACCTACAGTGCCAGAATCCCATATGGGCTCTAGTTCAAGTCTCAGCTGCTCCACTTCTGATCCGGCTCTCTGCTGTGGCCTGGGAAAAGCAGCAGAAGATGGCCCAAGTCCTTGGGTCTCTGCACCCACATGGGAGACCCAGAAGAAGCTCCTGGCTCCTGGCTTTGGATCGGCACAGTTCCAGCCATTGTGGCCAACTAGGGAGTGAACCAGTGGATGGAAGACCTCTCTCTCTGCCTCTCCTTCGCTCTGTGTGGCTCTTTCAAATAAATAAAAAAAAAAAAAAAAAAAAAAAGACCTGAATCAAACAGTAAATCTCAAATACATATCTTATTAAATGTTGCAGACAAAATGGGAAGAGTGTGTGTGTATGTGTGTGTGTGTGTGTGTGTGTGTGTGGAGTTTTTGCCGCATACTAAAGTACGATGAGTGTCTCAAAAAAAGCAATTATTAAGTGGTTTGAACCATCATCTAAACCAACTTGTTCCCCACCTGCCAGGGAAACACTGCTACTACCTGAAGAACAGCTAACTAGCCAACTACTGTTGTCTGATCTGGGGGAGTATCTAGCAGGCATTTTCTCAAAAGTAAAGGAAGTGAGCCTATCACATCAAGGAAGTAACTCACACTCTATCTGCTGACACTGACAACATTTGACCTTTAAAGCAAAAATTAGAACGTTGGAAAATTGCCAGAAGCTTTCACTTTCCCACTAAAGACTTTCACGATGAGCCTGGTGGTGGTAACAATGGATGTACGCGTTTTTCTTTAACTGGTTTAAAATCTAGCACAACTATGCGGAACAAAAAGACTTACACAAAAGGAAGTTTGGCAGAAGCCTCTGGATGCTGCTCCTGCTTCAGGAAGCACTCGGAGGCCAGCCCTGTCTCCTTCTGGCAGTGTGACATTTCCATAGGAAGCCTGGAACTGCCCCCGTGATTTTTGACCCCAAAGGGAAACAAACTGAGCTCAAGAGGAAGTTGACACTGCATAAGGCAGGGTAGATGGAAGAAACTAAATTGCCAGCAACATCATGGAACAGCTGAATTAAAGCACTACGGAAATCCACCCTACTTCTGGGCCATCCAATAGTCTCCTAATTGCTGAAAGCAATTTGAACTGGGTATTACAACACAAAGACTCCTAACAAAGGCATTCTGCTAAATTGAATTAAAATGTCAAAAACAAATATAAATAAAACAGCCTTATCACTACAGGAAAACTTTCACTGGGAAGATCTACTTGAAATTGATTTTGTTTCATATGGAAATAAAATTATTTTAAATTACCTTTTCGGTGTTCTTGTATTTTTCCCATCCTTTTAGCATTTTCAGCCATTTGGCAGTTCTTTCAATTTCGAGATGCTTTTGCTAAAATAAAACATCAAATTTATTGTTACTGCTTGTTCAAGATTTTTTGACTTGAAAATTACAAAAAAGAGAAAATTTTGCTAAAAAGGACTATTAAAAGATGTTAATAGATAGCAAATATCTTATTTAGCTTTTATTAATCTGGATGTTAGAGCTGTCTCAATAATATTCCATAGTTCAAATTAAGATTCATAGGCAATGCTACACTTAGGAAAAAAGATTAAGAAGATAAATGATTAAATTTTCCAACACTTTAAAATTTATCTCAGAAATCTGTGTATTCTACATATTTAAACAAAAAAGAAATTTTAAAAATATTTTGAAATATCTTTTATGAAACAATGAAAATACAACTTGAAAATTCAATTCTCTTCTTTTTCATTTTACTGAATTTAAGCACATTAATGTTTTTGGTGAAAGAGCTGGTTTCTTAAAGGAAAACTGGATACTTATTTATCGAGTGAATAACACATAACTAGCACTGTGCTAGGAAAAATATACATACATACATGTATACATGCTGTCCTAAGACAAGTTCACTGTATGCCAAGGGCAACTGACTTGGAAATATACAGTACTATGCCAGGTGCTGTGACACAGACAGGAAAAGTAGTGGCAAGGTCACGATGGAGGAAGTCAAATCCACCAGGGATGTCAGAGAAAATGATCCCTAATGAAAGAACTGAAAGATTATTAGGGTTTATATCTAAAAGTACAATGCGGGAAAGAACACTCTAGACAACATGGGAATAGGTTTATTTCTGAGACAATTCAGCACCATGGGAAGTGGGGGGAGGCTCACAATTTTTCCAAAGTGTTGAATAAAGGAAGCATCAGGAGATGAGGCTGTCAAAGTAGACAGGGATCTTGTGTGTTATGCTAAACTGAGATTTGGGGCAAAGGTGGGGAACAGAGAAGGTGACAAAAAGCACTTGCTCCTCACTTCCTGAGTTTCCAGGAGCACAGATTCCCCCCCTCCTCAGGGGCTCCACCTGCAAGTGTAATCAGCATATGAATAAAAAACAACTGAAATAGAAGAACACACAGGAGAGTTCTAAGAAAACACTTCATGCTTGAAGATGCATGTATGTTCACTGCATCCCCGGGAGGTAGTTCTTTCTGATCATCTCCACTACCCGGTAAAGCAACTGAGGCACCAAGGGTGTCTAGTAAGCTGCAAAGCCAGGACTACACTCTCAGCAGGCACACCCTGCTTCCATCAGGTCCTCTGCCCTAGCACAGGCAACCACAGCTCCTGGATGAAAGCAATCGCTCCTTACAGACTGGCTTTAATCCAGCCCCAAGCAGGCAGTCATTATATTGGCAGATGGTATACACCCACCACCAGTATTTTTAGATCTAAAAGAAGCATAAAATCCAAAGAAAATCCTGAATTGAGGAAAAATATTCTCAGCAATCAGAATATTTTTACAGAATTTTATCTTTAGGATATTCTTAAACTTTACCTTTCAATGCTTTTTTAAAATTTTTGATGGACTTTTTTAAGAAAAGATTACTTGGTTATAAATCCCATTTTTCAAAAGGTTAAGCATATTCTTCATTATATTATTAGTGATAAAATGCTACAAATGAGTACAGCAATGTTTAATTTCAAAACTTAGGGGCCAGCACTGTGGCATGGGGGGTGGGGCCACTGCCTGCAGTGCCAGCATCCCAAGTGGGCGCACCGGTTCGGTCTGGCTGCTCCACTTCCGATCCAGCTCTCTGTTATGGCCCGGGAAGGCAGTGGAAGATGGCGCAAGTGCTTGGTCCCTGCACCCATGCAGGCGACCCAGAGGAGGCTCCTGGCTTTGGGCAGGCACAGCTCCGCCAGTTGTGGCCACTTGGGGAGTGGGCCAGTGAATGAAGGACCTATCTCTCTCTAATTCTGCCTTTTGAATAAATGAATAAATCCTAAAAAAACAAAAAAAAAACAACTTAGTGGGGCACTGAAACCCAGTCAATATTTCTGCTACATGTGATATAGAAAAGAGCAAACTGATAAAAATCAAGATTGATGTTTACTGCCACTTGGTATTTTTTGTTTTTGTTCTGCATTTCCTTCCTTGACTCCTTCAATCATAATCCTTTTTTCCCACCAACAGGAAAGTACCAAATAAGTCAAGTCAACCCAAGAGTAAAATAACATACAGTTTGCCAGCAACAACCCCGTCAAGATCCAGCAGGTCTGTTGCTATCCTTCATGTTATCAGTGAATCACTAAGAAAGTAGTCATTCTTTATTTTCTTAAAAACATGCTTTTGTATGTAGATTATGTTGAATTCTATACATTCTCATACTACAAGGGCAAAACACATACATACACAAGTACAATCTTATGAACTATTGTGCATGCTTTTCTTTCCCCTACAGCAACAAAAAAGAAAAGGATAAACCTTGGATATGTTCCAGGTTGCAGATTTCCAGGAACGGGGTGGGGAACCTTTTTTCTGCCAAGGGCCATTTGGATATCTATATCATCAGTCTCAGGCCCTACAAAACGACCGACTTATAAATTAGCTTGCTAGGTTTATTGGATCTTGAGTTTTGCCTGCGGTTGCCTTGGCAGTGTCAGACCAAATGATTTCACAGGTCATATAGAGCCCATGGGCCGGACATTCCCCACCCTTGCTTCAGAAGGTAGGGCCTGATAGGAGGTCCTTAGTTTCTAACTCTCTGAAGAGGGTGATTATAAAGAGTTTGGGCACACTGGCTCTCTCGGCTTCCTGGCTCCTCATACACTCACTCCTCCACACACACTCTGCCATTCCTATCTACCACCCTCCCAGAGGCCAGACCAATGGGGCCACCGGATCTTGGACTTGAACCTCCAGAACGGTGAGCCAAATGGACCTTTTCTCTTTCTAAAGTTAGTTTCCTCAGGTATTTCATTGCAGTAACAAAAATCTGACTAATACATTTTTCTTTTTGACAGGCAGAGTTAGACAGTGAGAGAGAGAGACAGAGAGAAATGTCTTCCTTCCATTGGTTCACCCCACAAATGGCTGCTAATGATCACGCTGCGCCGATCTGAAGCCAGGAGCCAGGTGCTTCCTCCTGGTCTCCCATGCAGGTGCAGGGCCCAAACACTTGGGCCATCCTCCTCTGCCTTCCCGGGCCACAGCAGAGAGCTGGACTGGAAGAGGGGCAACCGGGACAGAATCTGGTGCCCCAATCGGGATGCTGGCGCCACAGGCGGAGGATTAGCCTAGTGAGCCATGGCGCCAGCCTAATACATTCTTGCACTTCAGGTGTCTCATCTATAAAAATGAGTTATGATTATTCTGACACTTCTATTCTAAGTGATGTAAATTTCCAAATCACATCATTATTATAGTATGAACTCCTTGACTACAATGACCATGACATATGCTCATCTAAAGAAGTGGTGTTACAATAGCATTTAAACTGAACAGAACTTGCATAAGAAAAGATCATTAAATAACACTATGAAGTAATGAATTAATAGCACTCTGAAGTAACTTAGGTGAAAGGGTGGAAAGGAAAATGAATACAAATACAGAGACCAAAATCAGAGTATTATTTTGACAGCAGTTTGATCACTATAATATGGTAGTAATGAAAAGTAAATTATAATGCTATCTTTTATGTAGCATAATGGTAGAAATGCTGTAACTCCATCATGTTGGTAATGTTTTTCAAAATGCTGTCAAAAGGCAGAACTACTGATGTCTGAAGCCTATACAAAATTGGTATTAAATAATTCTGTTACGGGCCAATGCTGTGGCATAGCAGGTTAAATCACTGTCTGCAGCACCGGCATCCCATGTGGGCACCAGTCCTGGCCGCTCCACTTCCAATCCAGCTCCCTGCTAATGTGCCTGGGAACGCAGTAGAAAACGGCCCAAATACTTGGACTCCTGCACCTGCATAGGAACCTGGATGAAGCTCCTGGTTCCTGGCTCCAGGCTTCAGCCCTGGTTGTTGTGGCTATTTTGGGGAGTGAACCAGTGGATGGAAGCTCTCTCTCTCCCACTCTCTCTCTGTAACTTGCCATTCAAATAAATAAAATAAATCTTTTAAAAAAATTTAGCAGGATTATTACCTGATGGTGCTGTATCTTTTCTGTCACTCATCAGGGCCACCAAGTGCCAATCTACAACATTATCAAATGATACCATAATTTGAGTACTTGTTAAGGTAGTATTTGCTTAGTTTCTCCATTAACTGAAAAAGAAATTCCCTTTTGTTATTAATAATCTACAGGATACAGTTTTAGATAATAATTTTTGACACTGAGAAGTTTTTCTCTCCAGGCCCTTTTCCCTTTAAATACCACTATGGTCTAAAGGATTATTTTATTCAACATATTGTCTGTTACCATCATGATTGTTTTTGAATCTCAAATTGTCCCAAACTGGGCTGGACTGCTCCCTAGCTGATCCATTTCTCCACTTTAAAACTGGTCCTTGTGAAACGCCCTACTAGTCTTTTACCACTTCTTTATTTTCTGGCATATTCTAGTCCACCTTATGATACTTTCCTGATCTCAGACCTACAGTCTGCCACTACTTTAAGAAACCATGTTTCTCTTTAATGGAAAATGGTATAAAATATTAAGATCTTGGTACTAGATGTGCTCATCACTGCAATATACTAAATTCTATGGAGATCTGACATAAGGAAATCCTACTCCTCTCAGAATATCAGAACATATATCCAAAGGAACATAATGCAGAGATCTTTATGTCCATCGTATACTCCCTGTGCAATCTCGCCATTCTTCCACTGGCAAAAAAAAAACAGTATGCTGTTGTGAACTTTGCTTCCCATGGGCTGTTTATAAGGAAGAATTAAACCTCTGTTTAAAGCTTATGCTACAGTATCTTTAAAAAAAAAATTTTATTTTATTTATTTGAGAGGCACAGTTACAGACAGACAGAGAGGTCTTCCATCCTCTGGTTCACTCCCCAAATGGCCACAACGGCCAGAGCTGGGCTGATCCAAAGCCAGGAGCCAGGAGCTTCATCCAGGTCTCC